AATCGTGCGTTCTTCAAGACATACTACGAGAAACGGTCTTTCGGGCATCTCCTCGTCAACTTCAACCGGATATGGGTCATCCACATCGCGTTGTATTTCTTCTACACGGCATACAACTCTCCGGCCATCTACACCGTCAACGGACATAGCGTCCCGGCTTTGACATGGAGCGCTGTTGCCCTCGGAGGGGCTGTTGCGACCCTGATCATGATCCTCGCTACCCTGGCTGAATTCTCGTATATCCCCACAACCTGGAACAACACTTCGCATCTGACAAGGAGGCTCCTGTTCCTGTTGGTCATCCTTGCGATCACCGCCGGGCCCACTTTCTACATTGCCATCGCAGCCAACAATGGGAGCGCGGGCACTGTTGCTTACATCATCGGCATCGTTCAGTTCGGCGTCTCGGTTGCTGCGACAGCCCTATTCGCGATTGTCCCTTCCGGCCGGATGTTTGGAGATCGTGTCGCAGGAAAGAACCGAAAATATCTCGCGAGCCAGACCTTCACGGCGTCGTATCCTAAACTTCCGGGGCCCAACCGGGCTGCAAGCATTTTGCTTTGGGCTCTGGTCTTTGGTTGCAAGGCAGTCGAGTCGTACTTCTATCTGACGCTCTCGTTCCGTGCTCCGGTCGCTGTCATGATCGGCATGAAGATCCAAGGGTGTCACGACAAGTTCTTCGGGAATGCACTCTGCCGAAATCACGTCGCGTTCACGCTTGCGATCATGTACGTCATGGAGCTCGTGCTGTTCTTCCTGGATACATTCCTCTGGTATGTCATCTGGAACACGGTGTTCAGTATCGGCCGCTCTTTCAAGCTGGGACTATCCATCTGGACGCCCTGGGGCGACATCTACCAACGATTGCCGAAGCGGATTTATGCCAAACTGTTGGCGTCGTCCGAACTGGAGAACAAGTATAAGCCCAAAGTTCTGGTGTCCCAAATCTGGAATGCAGTCATCATCTCGATGTACCGAGAGCATCTACTTTCCATCGATCACGTTCAGAAGCTGCTATACCACCAAGTGGATCTGGCCAACGGAAGGAGGACCTTGCGGGCCCCGCCCTTCTTTGTCGCTGACGGCAACAAGGACGACGGAAACTTCCTTCCCAAGGATAGCGAGGCGGAGCGACGAGTCTCGTTTTTTGCGCAAAGTTTGACGACGGAGATTCCCGCTTCTCTGCCTGTGGATGCGATGCCGACGTTCACCGTCCTCACACCGCATTACAGCGAAAAGGTACGTTTTTCTTGCGGCGTTCATATAGGTTACTGATCGCAGTATCTAGATCCTGCTGTCTTTGCGAGAGATCATTCGCGAGGAAGACAAGAACACGCGCGTGACGCTCTTGGAATATCTGAAGCAGCTGCACCCCGTCGAATGGGAAAACTTCGTTCGTGACACCAAGATACTTGCCGAGGAGTCTGCCATGTACAATGGTTCGCCGCCGTTCGACGAGAAGGCCACGTCCAAGGCAGATGACCTCCCATTCTACTTCATCGGTTTCAAGAGCGCTGCACCGGAGTTCACACTGCGCACGCGCATCTGGTCGTCTTTGCGGGCGCAGACTCTGTATCGAACGGTCTCCGGGATGATGAACTATTCGAAAGCGATCAAGCTCCTTTACCGTGTCGAGAATCCGGATGTGGTGCAGCACTACGGTAACAATCCGGACAAGCTCGAGCGTGAGCTGGAACGCATGTCACGGCGCAAGTTCAAGTTCTTGGTGTCGATGCAACGGTATTCCAAGTTCAATAAAGAAGAGCAGGAAAACGCCGAGTTCCTCTTGCGTGCCTACCCGGATCTGCAGATTGCCTATTTGGACGAAGAGCCCCCCAGGAGAGAAGGTGGAGAACCCCGAATCTTCTCTGCCCTCATCGACGGCCACAGCGATTTCATCGGCGATACGGGGCGGAGGAGGCCTAAATTCCGGGTCGAGCTTCCTGGTAACCCCATTCTCGGTGACGGCAAGTCGGACAACCAGAACCACGCGATCATCTTCTACCGTGGAGAGTACCTTCAGCTCATCGATGCCAACCAAGACAACTACCTCGAGGAGTGTCTCAAGATCCGGAACATCCTGGCTGAGTTCGAGGAGCTACAGACGAGCGAGACGAGCCCTTATTCTCGCTGGGATGCGAAAGAGTTCGGGCAGACTCCTGTTGCGATCGTCGGTGCGCGCGAGTACATCTTCTCGGAGAACATCGGTATCCTCGGCGATCTTGCTGCTGGCAAGGAACAGACGTTCGGTACGCTGTTTGCGCGGTCCATGGCGTGGATTGGCGGCAAGCTGCACTACGGACATCCTGATTTCCTGAACGCGATCTATATGACGACCCGCGGTGGTGTGTCGAAGGCGCAGAAGGGCCTGCACCTGAACGAGGATATCTACGCTGGCATGAACGCGTTTGGTCGGGGAGGGAGGATCAAGCACACTGAGTACTTCCAGTGTGGAAAGGGGCGTGATCTTGGGTTCGGGACTATCCTCAACTTCCAGACGAAGATCGGCACGGGTATGGGCGAGCAGATGCTCAGTCGCGAGTACTACTACCTTGGCACGCAACTCCCGATCGACCGATTCTTGACGTTCTACTACGGCCATCCGGGTTTCCACATCAACAACATGCTCGTCATTCTGTCTGTGCAGGTTTTCATTGTCACTTGTGAGTGCCTTGACGCTCTTGATGAGTATGTTTTCTGACGTGCATCCGCAGTGGTCTTTGTCGCGTCTCTGACGTCGAGTATCACGATCTGCAAGTACACGTCCTCAGGACAGTTCATCTCTGGTCAAGCTGGATGCTACAACCTGGTTAACGTCTCGTCCTGGATCCACCGGTGTATCATCAGTATCTTCTTGGTGTTCATGATTTCCTTCCTGCCACTGTTCCTGCAAGGTTAGTGGCCCTCGTCCCTGTACAAGCGATTTCTCACGCCTTGACAGAGCTGGTCGAACGCGGCACCTGGAAAGCTTTACTACGGCTTTCGAGACAGTTCGGGTCTCTCTCCCCTGTCTTCGAAGTGTTCTCGACTCAGATCTACACGCACTCGATCATCAGCAACTTGACGTTCGGTGGGGCACGGTACATCGCGACAGGCCGTGGGTTCGCTACGAGTCGGATCCATTTCAGCACGCTGTTCTCCCGTTTCGCCGGCCCAAGCATCTATCTGGGGATGCGCACGCTGATCATGTTGCTGTATATCACGCTGGCCGACTGGACGCCGTTCCTGATCTACTTCTGGGCATCGATCCTCTCGCTGTGCATCGCGCCGTTCCTGTTCAACCCGCACCAGTTCGTGTTCTCTGAATGGGTCGTCGACTACCGCGAGTTCTTGCGCTGGATGATGCGCGGTAACTCGCGTGCTCATAGCAACTCGTGGATCGGATACTGCCGTCTGAGCCGGACGATGATCACCGGGTACAAGAAGAAGAAGCTTGGTCATCCGTCCGAGAAGCTATCTGGGGATGTCGCTCGTGCTGGTTGGCGGTCTGTGCTGTGGGCTGAAGTGATGTTCCCCATCGCTATGGCCATCCTGTTTGTGATTGCGTACATGTTCGTCAAGTCGTTCCCGGACCAGAATGGGGTGATGCCTCCGAGCCCGCTCGTGCGCATGCTGGTGATTGCATTCGGGCCTTTGGCGTGGAACGCCGTCGTTCTCCTGCTGTTGTTCGTCGTGTCGATCTTCATTGGGCCCATGCTCGATGGCGTGTTCCCGCTCTTCGGCTCTGTGATGGCTTTCATCGCACACTCGCTCGGGTTGATTGGCATGGTCGGATTCTTCGAGTTCTTCTGGTTCCTCGAGCGGTGGAACGTGGCGCATGCTGTGCTCGGATTGATCACGATAATCGCCATCCAGCGCGCGACTCACAAAATGCTTATCGCGGTCTTCCTCTCGCGGGAGTTCAAGCATGACGAGACGAACCGGGCGTGGTGGACTGGTCGGTGGTACGGTCGTGGACTGGGATCGCACGTTGTTTCGCAGCCAGCGCGAGAGTTTATCGTCAAGATCCTGGAGCTCTCACTCTGGAGCTCGGATCTGATTATGGGGCACATCCTGCTGCTGATGCTTACACCACCTGTGCTCATCCCCTACTTTGACCGGTTACATGCCACCCTGCTCTGTTAGTATCTTTGTTGTGCCTCGTGTTCTCGCGCTGTTCTGACTCCTGGTGTCCTACTCTAGTCTGGCTGCGGCCTTCGAAACAGATCCGCGCGCCTCTGTACTCGATCAAGCAGAGGAGACAGCGGAGGTGGATCGTGCGTCGTCTTCGTGCTTTTGTTGTGGTGCATGGCTGACTCGTTTCGTAGATCATCAAGTATGGTATCATCTACGTTCTTGCTATGGCGCTGATCGCTATTCTGATCGTGCTTCGTGAGTGTGCTTCCCCCATGCTCGCGTCGCATGCCCTTGATCTGACGTTGCGACAGCTCTCATATTCCACTCGACGATGCACTTCACATGTTCCATCTGCACGAGCATATAATATCATAGTGCCGGACTTTCATTTTTATCTTATTAGACTAGCACACTCGTTGGCTTTGCTGGATAACGGACATGGACTATCCTATAATACACAAAAGTGTCCCGCTCTCCGTTGCAAGTGAGATCATTGCACAAACTCGTGCGTCAACAGCATCAGCAACCGAGATTGGTAGTCGTCAACACAGGTCTCCGATATGCTCGTATAGGAATCCGATTAGTCACCACAATCCATATCAAACGCTTGGAGGAGAACGGAGAGGGAGGCGATTGGGCACTGGGATCGCACTCAGAGGCTACGTCCCATGGCACACACACGACGAGCTGTCGACTCTCACCGCGGAGACACATCCGCTGACGACGAAAGTGAAGCCGACCGAAACACCGGCTTCCTGGTGCTCGGACGCGAGCTGCCCAAATCGACGGATGTTTTCACGCGCCTTGATTATACATACAGATTGCGCGCATGATTCTAGACTACAGTAAATAAACGGTGAATTGCACGCTCTGCGATGGTCCCTTCACACCGCGTCACTCATGAGCGGGATAAAGGCGGCAAAAATGTCCTCCGGAGGAAGGAGCGGCTTCTGCATCCGTTCCCAGTTCCGTTCGAGCCGCGCCTGCATGTATCTGCGGATCCGTTGAGCATTGTCCCGGTGTGATTTCTGCTGATTGTCCGCCTGCACCTCCGACACAGCCGTGTCCAGGACGCGCAATGCATCCAAATTGGTGATATACCCGTCGTGCTCATCAACGGCCGAGTAAAGCACCGCGCTGAACACATGCTCATCCGCAAGACAGTCCTTTGGATATTTGCGAATGAATGCAGAGGCGGCGTCGGCGAATCGATTTTGCAGCTCAACCGGGATCACCGAACGAATGTTAGCGACTCTGTATTGTACCAGTTTGAGCGTCGCCAAGTCCATGTCCTGATCAGTTTGATTCGGACTCTGGGCGGTACACTGCTCGAAGAACGTGCTGAAAAGACCCACGTATGCACAGCCGTAAACTAGCTGAGCCGACGGCCGCTCCGTCCGTTCATCGTTGTCAAGGCCAATCACGGCGCGGAACCACTCCTCGTCGTCGAAGATGCTCGGTAATTGCTCCCATCCGCACAAATCCCACAGGAAACTGTTGAGCACAACGGAATGGACAATGGCAGCCAAACGGTGCGTAGGGATTTCAGCTGCTTGAGTCCGCAGAGTACGGAGGACCCGAACATGGGTATCGAGGTCTCTCGGTGGCATATTGGACTCAAGTAAATTCCGATAAATCAGTTGGAGGGCGTCGGCAGATGGCTGGGGATCAATTCCGCATGACAAGTTCCTGCATAGCTGGTGGCACAGGTATCGGGTGTAATGATGCTTTGAAGCGGGGTGTAAGTCGGACCTCTGGTCGGAGGCGGCGAGGGAGGGATATCGGATGAGGAACGGCCCAAGACCCGGCAAGAACAAATCAGAATAATTTGATGTCTGGGCAAACGCGTTGATCATCTGACGAGCAGCAAAGACGGTATTGTTCGCTGTCTCGTCTGACTTGGATTGGATTAGCCGGGAGAGAGCGGAACGCAGAGTTTCGTAGCCATCCGCTTCCGTGAACTGCATTTGTGACCAGTGGAGAAGTGAATTGGTCACATCCCGCTGGAAGCTGGTAGCGCGTTTGGAAAGTGCTTCCAGATAATCCACATACGTTTGCTGTATGTCCGCTTGGCGTTGGGCACGAATATCACCGTCTGAGCTGCTCGGCTGTATCGAGGCCCGTCCCCGACTCCGAGACTCGATCATGTTCAGACGGATCAGAGCAGACACGTCAGTGACCATGCTCTGCACGCCAGGAGAATCAAGAAATTTTGAGCCGATCAGTGGATAGTTCATGTCGGCTTCTCCGATCGGACTTTGCAGCGGCGACCCGGTGTGCAGAGAAAACGCGCATATGGCCCAGATGGCCCGGAGCACGGACAGCTGGCGGCGCAGGCGGACTTTGTCCTCAAGCAGATTGCTGTTGGAGCCAGCCATGAAATCAGCAAGACGCTGGCCAAGATGGACTTGCGGATCCTGCAACAACCTCTTGAACAGTGCCTGATACACGCCACGAGGCTTGTTTCGATCGAAATCCCACAGCGTCTGGGGGAGCCCCTCGACAAGTTTCTCAAGTTCGTCATCGTCAGAAAGAGACCGGACAATCCACGCGAGTGCCCGAGTCTCCGTCTCAACAGGAGGATGCAGTGCTGCCGACTTCAGGGCTTCCACAATGCTCTGGCTCTGCGGACGGGTCTCTGCAGGTGTAGAAGGCTCGGTAGAGGTTGCGGGGTTCATCACAGTAGATTGAGCGGGTCTCTCTAGATCTGGCTCAGCGACTCGCTTTCGAAAAAAGGCCTCGCAAACAGCCACTGCCCTTGGAAGAGAAGTCCCCCTTCTATTTCTCAAGCTCTGATTCAGTGACCAGAGGATCGGTGTGAGTGGCGTTTGATACGGACAGTCGAGACGGAACAGCGGAAGGGCGGAGAATGTTCCGTAGATGGACACGAACAGGAGCAGAAGAGCGGAAGAGATGCCCATGATGATGACGTTGATGGGCACAAGAAACGCCACCAGACCCGCAAAGAACAGGACCAGTGACGCATGCAACAGGAGAGGGGGAACGCCAACCACGGCATGCATATTGAAGCGGCGCAAACCGTAGTAAAGATACATGTACACGCGCGCACGGACAGAGGGAGACGAGAACATCGATGTCCGGTGCTGGTACTCCTGCGCCCATTGTTTGACGAGTGTCGCGACGAGTGCACTCGACAAGCTCAGTGCGAGACTCGTGAACCAGAGTGCGTTGCATACAAGTGATAAGATCGAGGGTGAGAAGGAAGCGGGGGGAGGGAGAGCGTCCATCACCGCTGTGCTATGGTTCGGGTTCCCGAGCTGGTGCGATATCTGGCTGAGCAGTGCGACGGTCTGGCTGAGCAGCACGACAGTCTGGCTGCTCGAGTCGGGGTTTAATGTCTTGTAGCTGTCGATGATGAATGTGGTGACGACTCCCGAGAAGAGACCGGCCTGACAAGTGAAATTCAGAGATAGATTCGGATTGAGAGGAGTCAAAGACGCACGAAGATCAGTAGACCATCCATCTCGCTGCGCCAGCCTTCAATGAGACCCTGATCGTAGTTTTGCGCCTCGGAGATGTAGGCACTCCAGAGCTTGTTCCCGCTAGCCCTCTCGCGCTCGATAGACTCTTCGTCCGCCTTTCGTTGGTCGGCCTGTTGTCTCTCGGCTTGCGACATGGTCAAAGGCAAGAGGTGAACTGCTTTGCCTCGTGTTTTCACAGCGTTTCGCCATGCACGGCTGCCTCACCAGGACAGTGCCACGGCTCACAGCCACCAAGCGCCCAACGCCAAAGTGGTGGATTCAGACACAGGCACTCAAGGAAGCCAACGCAAGCTTTGACGGCGCAAAGCTATTGTCTGGCGGTGCATCCCGAGGCATGGCAGTCCATTGGCGCTTCCGAGAGATGAACAGATTTTGCATCAAGCACCAGTACGACGGCGTCGGTCCCGGGAGGCGCATTTGTGTCCATGAGTCGCCGTAGAATGTCAGAGAGCAAACGGGAAGGTCGCATAGTCTCGAAAGGGACAGAAGACAATCTTGTACGCCCAGGGCCCCATTGTACTGGGTCACTCTCTCGTCAGAAGTGGATTGGAGGAAACACGTGCTGTCACACCATATCAAGCTAATCGAGCTACTGTAGTCACGAGTCTCGAATGCTCTGCAGCAACAACGACATTCTGCATATCCATTCTCTGGCGACGCGCTGGGAATCGATCTCGGAATTGGCCGCCGCGATTCAGCTCTGGGGGCTTGTCCTGGTCGCCCATTTCGGTGGGATGCCAAACTCTGCGCCCAAGTTCATGCTTCATCGAATCATCGACGCTTTTATCTCTCTTTTCGAAGCCTGGACCGTCGGTCTGCGCCTCTTGCTTCCCAATCTCTTGTACAGCCGGCAACTAAATTTGCGGTCCGGTCCTGCCTCCTACATCTGCGAATATCACTTGTTTATTGCGAATACACTCTGTGTAGTTCATCTGCTCCTCTGTCCATGGTGATTCCGGCTTCTCTTCGATGTCATAGGCATGCTATCTTGCTCAGCAAGTAGCTCATGCTCCCTAAGTTGGTGGTCATTGCTTGCGTGAGCTCTTCGTTGAGATGAATTGCGCGCTCCAGATATCTGCTCGACGCGTCTCTGACCGGTCTCTCGTGTGCATGTTCATCATGTCCACCGCGTTCTGCACGAGCCGACCGTGCCCCGCCTTCGCTCCTAGTGCAGCGCACGGACGCCACAGCACCGCAGGACCAAGGAGACGCAGTATCTTCGCCAACGGCGTTTCAAGGAACACCTTGACCTGCGAGATGCAGAAGAGCTGCGTCCGAAAGAGCTTCGAATGCGACGGCAAGCGGAGGGCCACATTCTCCTTGCCATCGTCGTCGCGTCGTGTCACATCGCACTTTCCCTCATCCGGTGTTTCGACCGCTCACACGAAGGCGTCCTCGCCGGCAACGCAGTCTCAGCCGCAGCAACGAAATCAGTGGCCTGGCGGTAAAGCATTTCAGCTACGCGATATTTGGGCTGGTCGCGGAGGATCCCCGGCTACCAGAGCATTGACAGATATACTAGCCGAAGGTCGGGTCGCCTACGATGAGTGCAATCAGGCTCTGACCGAACATCTTGCTCCGCCCGGGCGCATGTTCATTTCTGTTGGCTCGGACACTCAGAAATCGGGAGTGTTATGGAAACACGAATCCGTGTACTTGTTGTCCGCGGAGGCAGTGACAGTCGCACATGCCGCCGGGTGGCCGGGAACGGTGATTGTGCCTAAGGCTCCTACTGGCGCGGTCCTGTGGGACAGGACCTCAGATGTGACAGCTTCTGAGATATTGCAGTGTTGGCATGTTGGAAACAGGGCGGACTACAAACAACATTGGAGACCAATGGTTTAACAAGTCATTCATTCTACAAGCTCACTCACATGATAAATCTGGCCAGAAGATTCTTCTCGTTGATGACGGACATGGATCCCATGACACAAAGGCTCTCATTGAGGCAGCATTGACAAATGGCATCTGTATTCCAGTGCTGCGATCTCATACGGCCACACATGTTGCAGCCACTCAATGTTGGGATGTTCAGATCCTTTGCTCACAACTGGATCTTGCAGTGTGACACATACTTGGCTGAGCACAGGGTTGAGATGCCCTGAGACGTATCTGTCAAGGAATACATGGACGTACAGAATGCCTTGTTCACGCCAGAAATCATTTAGACTGCATTTTGGAAAGCAGGCATATGGCCACCAAATCAGGATGTATTCACTGATGAAGACTATGTACCCAGCTGTCAGGGGAACCCCCGCTTCAGACCAATCAGCCTAGGATCTGGCATGTGATCATGCTTGTGTGACCTGTCAGCTGTCACACGCAGCAGCCCAGACTGCCACACTGAGCACTTCTCTTTGATGGCAGGTGGTGCCATGGTTCCTATTGTCTCCATTTCCTATTGTTCTGTCATGGCCATTGTACTTATTGTTCCTATTGTTCTTGTTTGTCACTGTGCGGTCTATTGTTCCTGTATTATATAATAGTGGCGCCTGGCAAGGAGAATCCTCAACACGGTTTCTCTTTGGATTCTCCCTTGCCAGGTATGCCGGTCTTGTATCTAGCTACCACTATTATTCACTTTGGATTCTCCCTTGCCAGGACTCTGACATTGGGTCTCGAGGTTACCCTTACAGCAGAAACCATGTTCCTATGGTGCATGTGCCCTTAACACTACCACTTTTGTACAAGGGTCACAGTGTGTCACAGAAGCGTCTGTTTTCTTATCTGTCTTACAGAAACACTCAGTTTGAGGTGTAGAACAAATCTGTAAGAGGGATAATTAATTGCTTCAAAACTGAGGGAGTTGATGTTTTGATTGACACCCCGATTCCGGTTCTGTCACGTTATGTCACGAAATGTGACTAGAAGTCACGCCAAAGTCACCACTTTTGCTGACAAATATGACCTCTTTCAGGCTTCTATGCATAAAATGTGTCTTTCCACTTGATCTGCACTCAATCTGAACCATTTCTGATGCTTTCCCGACCATTTTATTTTTGCAAATTTTCTGACCAGATTCCGGTCCTGTCACAAAGTGGCAGTGACAAGGGCACGTGCACCATAGGGATAACCAGACAAGATTTTGAAGACTCGTCTACAGCATCATCTGTCTCTCGCTTCCAACCTTGTCCCCTTCTCCCCCTCTATGATCACCATGTCCTATATGGAAGGAGAAGACAACCACCCCTCCCCTGAGCAACGAGTTGGTCATCTAGAGGAGACCATGCTGCATATGGAGAGAGCCCTCTGCGACCTCATAACTATACAGCAACAACCCCCCCCCTGCCCCTGCCCCTGCTCAAGCTCCGGCAGCAGGTCCAGGTGTTCCTGTTGGCTTGCAGCCTAGCCCTGCGCACCCCCTTATCTGCCCAAATCCTCCTTTCTCCTTTGATGGGGATTGCACCCTGGGCAAGAGCTTCTTGCACTCACTGAACCAGTACTGGTGCCTGCTTCCTGAGGCATTCTTTGTGAATGGGGCAGTCTCAGAGGAAAAGGTAGTCTACTTCGCCCTGTCCTACATGTCCAAGGACTCTGCAGCCTCCTGGTCTGAGTGCATGCCCAAGTGCACCCCATTCCTGTTCCCCACTTGGACTCTCTTTGTCACTGAGTTCAAGCTTTGATTTGCTGAGGAGAACGAGCAAGACCACGCCTTGGCACAACTGGAAACCCATCTCTATTATATGGGCTCCCGCAACATGTTCAAATACACAGACGAGTACGACGACCTCCTTGACCTTGCCAACTATACCAACAATCTGGTCAAGGTGACCAAATATAGGACAGGCCTGGATCCAAAGATCAACCAGGCTATCACCACCTCTGGCAACCCTCCCAGGCTTACCGACTACACTGAGTGGCATGCCCATGCGTTCCGGCAGTACAATGTGGAACAGGCTTCCAAGGTGTCTTGAGGCCATATTGCCCCCCTCTTTGAGCGCCTCCTATTGTCCCTTGTCCTTGTGCCCTGGTGCTCCTTGCTCTAGCACTGGCTATTGCTGCCTGCCCAGTGCTGGCTCCTGTTGCCCACCCCATCCCTATGGAGTTGGATCAGACCCAGCTCCATTGTGACGTTTGCCACACCTGCTTCCGCTGTGGCAGTCTGGGCCATCTTGCCCATGACTGCCCCACCCCAGCTGATATCCATCATGCTGATGTCCTTGACAAGCTCATCAATCAGTTGGGAAGTGAGTTGCTCTCCAAGTTGGTCGCTCGGGTGGCGACTACTGCAGCCATTGCAGAACACGCAGCTGATGTTGCGGCTGAGGTGGAGCAGGGTTTTCTCCCCAGCGACAAGTGAGTAGTACGCCCTTGTTTGCTTTACGTAATCATTTCTCCTGTTTGTATGATGAATCCAATTTCCTCCACTCTGCAACAGTTGAAGTGATAGACATACACCCTGCTCCCCCTCCAACCCCACGAGTCCGTAAGAAGAAGTGGGAACACAAGCTCCCTTCCTGCTATGTTGCCGCCGCCTCTCCTGGGGCCAATTCTCTTCACCTCCCCCTCAATGTTGAGTCCACCAACAATGCAGTGAAGTTATCTCTCAAAGGTCTGGTCGATTGTGGTGCCACCTCCGACTTCATCGACTCAGACTACATCCTCGAAAATCACCTCCTCGTTTGACGCATCACCCAGCTGATCCCTGTTTACAATGTGGACAGCACGCCGAACAAAGCCGGTTCCATTTGCAAAGTCGCTGATGTGGTTCTCCGTTATCAGGGCCACAGTGAACGCGTGCAGCTTGCTGTCACCCATTTAGGCAAGCAGCAGCTCATTCTAGGGTACTCCTGGCTCCGGAAACACAACCCGGAGATCAACTGGGATACCCAGAAGGTAAAGATGAGCCACTGCCCCTCCGGCTGCTCCACTTGCTGGGAGGAACTTTGTGAAGAACGTTGATCTGCCAGGACCACAGCCCAGGTGCTTCAAACCATCTGCCAAGGTCCCGTCCCATCAATCTGCGCTGTCAATGTTGAGGACCACGAGGGCAAAGAGATACCGGAGCTTATGCCAGATTTGGACAATTACAACCCTGAAGATGTTGAGGAAGATGATGACTCCTTGGAAGCCAGTGACCATATCTACTACACCCGCTTCAACCCTTCTGAAAACATCCAAGCCACCAGCACCGTCTCTCAGCAACTTGCTGAGGTGTTTGCCAAGAACTCTGCACCTCCTTGGGATTCCATCCCCAAGTGGGCCCGCGAGTTTGAGGATGTTTTCAGCAAGGAGTCCTTCGACAACCTGCCAGAGCAATGCCCCTGGGATTAAGCCATCGAACTGGTCCCCGACGCAAAGCCAACCAACTGTAAGGTCTACCCCATCTCCTTTCTCGAACAGAAGTAACTCGACGATTTCATCAAGGAGGGCATGGCTACTGGCAGGATTTGGCCGTCAAAATTGCCCATGGCATCCCCCATCTTCTTTGTGAAGAAGAAGGACAGCAGCTTACGGTTTGTCCAAGATTACCAAGCACTGAACGCGATGACAGTGAAGAACCGCTACCCACTCCCCCTGATCAATGATCTCATCAACAAGCTCAAGGGAGCTTGGTTCTTCACCAAACTTGACGTTCACTGGGGCTTCAACAACGTGCGCATTTGTCAAGGCAACAAGTGGAAAGCAGCGTTTCAGACAAACCACAGGCTCTTTGAGCCGTTGGTGATGTATTTCAGCCTGACCAACTCCCCCACAACATTCCAGACGATGATGAATGACATACTTCAGGACCTCATCCTCTCTGGCAACGTTATGGTATACCTTGACAACATTCTCATCGCGCATTCCGATATCCACCATCACCGGGAAATTGTGAACAAAGTCCTCCAATGTCTCTGCAAGAACAAGCTCTACCTTCGTGCGGAGAAATGCGAATTTGAGATGCCGTTGGTCAAATACCTTGGGGTGATCATTTCCCACAACCATGTGGAGATGGACCCGGTCAAGGTTGCAGGTGTGGCAGGGTGGCCAGCTCTGGTTAACAAGAAGGAAGTGCAGCAGTTCCTCGGCTTCATTAACTTCTACCAGAGGTTCATCTGGGACTTTTCGCACATTGCCCGTCCTCTCTTTAATCTCACCAAGAAGGACGTGGCATGGACTTGGAGCACCAACGAGGAGGCCGCGTTTCTTGCGCTGAAGAACACTGTTACCTCTACCCCAGTCCTGCAGCTCCCAGATGCTTCCAGGTCTTACCGCCTTGAAGCAGACAGTTCGGACTTTGCAACCGGCACTGTCATCTTGCAGCAGTCCCCCGTGGATGACAAATGGCACCCGGTCGCCTTCTTCTCAAAGAGTCTTAATGAGGTCCAGCAGAACTACGAAATCCATGACAAGGAGATGCTTGCCATTGTCCATGCCTTGGAGGAGTGGCGACACTTCCTCAAGGGCGCCAAGCACCCCATTGAGATCTGGACCGACCACACCACCAGCTCCCAATTGGGGAACTCCACCCCACGGAGGTTTCTTTGGAGTGCTGGGAAGTGGTGTTGGTCAATTTCATTGTGCAACTGCCAGATGCCCATGGATATGATGCCATCATGGTTGTTGTTGACATGCTTGGAAAGCATGCCCACTTTATTGAGTGCCACAACCTTCTCTCTGGTGAAGGTGCCGCCCAGCTTTTCTACAAGCACATCTGGCGCCACTACGGGCTCCCCACCAAGTATGTCTCTAACTGGGGCTCTCAGTTCATAGCAGACTTCACTCAGGAGCTGTGGAAGCTGGTCGGTGTCTTGCCAGCCATGTCCACTGCTTACTATCCGCAGACTGATGGGCAGACCAAGCGTGTCAACCAGGAGCTTGAGCAGTTCCTCCGGATCTTCACCAGCTACAGCCAGGACAACTGGGACGAGCTGCTCCCCACCGCAGAGTTTGCCTACAACAACCACGTCCACTCCTCAATGCAGCAAGTCCCATTCATGACGGACACTGGTTGGCTCCCTTGTATGGGCTTTGAGCCGAACAGGCTGTACTTGCCTGTGAGCGATCAGCGGACAAGTTCCGCGACCGAATCGCTTCTGGGGTGGCCGACTCCAAGTCTGCACTGGTGAAGGCAAAGGAGGAGTACAAGCAGTACTACAATTGCTAGAGGACCCTAGCTCCTGACCTCAAGGTCAGAGATCGAGTTTGGCTTGACGCATCTGACATAGCAATGACGTGTCCATCCCTCAAACTCTCCCATCAACGTCTGGGTCCCTTCAAAGTCACCCAGGTTGTTGGGCGTGGCACATACAAGCTTGATCTCCCTTGCTGCCTTGCTCGTCTCCATCCAGTCTTCCTTGTTGTCAAGCTCCAGCTCACTGAGGACGACCCATTCCCAACATGCCCAGTATGCGAGGAGCCACCGCCGGTCATGGGTCAAGGGCCTGGCAAGGAGTGGGAAGTCAAAGAAATACTGGGACGCTAAGATGCGCTATTGCAGCGTTTGGTTCTTTGTGCGATGGAAAGGCTATGATCCATCGCACGACCAGTGGGCTAAGCACTCTGATATCTTTGCAGAGGATGCTATAGCGGCATTCTACTGCAAATACCCCAGCAAGCCACGCGTCATTGCTGCCGCTGTCTTTGACTCCCTTCCTTTCCAGCACCCCTCTGCTACCATCCGCATGTTGCGTCAAGGCACCGCAATCCAAGGGGGGGGTGATGTCAGGGGAACCCCCGCTTTGGACTGATTAGCCTGGGATCTGGCATGTGATCACACTCGTGTGACCTGTCAGCTGTCACGTGCAGCAGCCCAGACTGCCGCGCTGAGCACTTCTCTTTGATGGCAGGTGGTGCCATGGTTCCTATTGTCTCCGTTTCCTATTGTTCTGTCATGGCCATTGCACTTATTGTTCCTATTGTTCTTGTTTGTCGCTGTGTGGTCTATTGTTCCTGTATCATATAAATAGTGGCGCCTGGCAAGGAGAATCCTCAACACGGTTTCTCTTTGGATTCTCCCTTGCCAGGTATGCCGGTCTTGTATCTAGCTACCACTATTATTCACTTTGGATTCTCCCTTGCCAGGACTCTGACATTGGGCCTCGAGGTTGCCCTTACAGCTATATATAAATTCTTGCGTGTCGACTCCGTTTTCTGCAACTATTGGATCCTGCGTCTATTGAGAGTTGTGATTCTGGTGTTCTGTCCACCCCAAAGCCCTTGCATCTTTCACACACTGAGAAGCTGATTATGAGGAGTGTGAATGTGTTTATATTTGGGTTTACTTTCACAGTAGATTCACTTGTAAGTGCACCCCTCAGCATTTCAGCAGTAGCACCCCTGCCAACATTTTGAAAATTTTGATGCTGTGCATCATGTGATTTTCCATCATCCTGCCCATTTGGTGCATCATGTGATTGATTTTTTTCCCACCCATCTGCCTGCTCTTATGGACAAGTCACATGGTATATATGGGCACCCCCCTCCTGACCCCCTGCCCCAAAATGGCCAGCTGCCCCCTGTACCCCCTGGGTACCCATAGAGCTACATCCAAAGGTACCCAGGAGGACCCCCACGGGGTCTATATCGCATGATGGCGGTGGTAACTGAGGTGCTGGATCCAGCTTGTAATGCTCTTTTCACATACAGAATACGTGCATGATTTTGAATTGAATAAATGGAAAATGACTCCCTCCGCAGTGATGCCTCTACTCGCTGACGCAAGCGAGCGGGACAGACTCGGCGGGAATGTTTTCAGGAAGGAGCCGCTCCTGCGTCCGCTCCCGGATCCGGGTCTCAAGAAGGAGCCGCGCCTGCATGTATCCGCGGATCCATTCAGCACGGTCCCGGTGTGATTGCTGCTTGTGGTCCGTCTGCACCTCCGACACAGCCGTGCACAGGACATGCAATGCATCCAAATCCTTGATCCACCCATTGTGCTTCTTGACGGCCCAGACAAGCACCCGGAACAGTTCAGTCCCGCCCGCAAGACAGTCCTTCGGATATTTGCGGATGAATCCAGAGACAGTGTCAGCGAATCGACGTTGAATTTCAGTCGGGATCACTGAACGAATGTCGTCGACTGCGTAGGGTACCGATTTGAGCGTCTCGCAGTCCAGTTCCCGCTCCAATTGATCGGGACTCCGGGCGGTACACTGCTTGAAGAAAGTGCTATAAACACCCACACATGTACACCCGTAAATTTGCTGTGCCGATGCCCGCTCTGTCTGTTCATCGTTGTTAAGGCCAAGCACAGAGCGGAACCAGTCCTCGTCATCGAAGATACTCAGCAATCCCTCCCATTCCGACAAATCTGCCGATTCCCACGACTTGCCCCACTCCGACAAATCCGACGAGAAAGTCTTGAGTATGACGCACTGGACGATGGCAGCCAGACGGTGCGTGCGGATGTCGGCTGCTTCAGTCCGCAGAGTGCGGAGGACCCGAAGATGGGTATCGAAGTCTCTTGGTGGCACAGGGGAGTCAAGCAGATGTCCGTAAATCAGCTCGAGGGCGTCAACAGATGGCCGGGGATTCGATCGCCGCCCCAAGTTGTCACATAGCTTATGGCACAGGAATCGGGTGTAGTGATGCTTCGAACCGGGCTGTGAGTTGGGCCTCCCCTCGGAGGCGGCAAGGGATGGATGTCGGAGAAGGAACGGTGCAAGACCCCACAGCGGCCAATTTGGATATTCCGATGTCTGGGCAAATGGGGTGATGATCTGGCGAGCAGCAAAGACGAGATTGTCCGCTGTCTTGTTGGATGTGTACTCAATCAGTTCATCAAGAGCGTGATGTACAGTCCAGAAGTCGTCTGCTTCTGTAAAGAGTATTTGGGACTGGTGGAAGAGTGAATTGGTCGCATCCCGTTGGAAGCTGGCAGCGCATGTGGAAAATGCCACCAGATATTGTGTATACGTCCGATGCTTCTCTGCTTGCCATTCCTTCTCTGCTTCGGTGCGGATATTGCTGTCGGAGTCGCTCGGCTGTGTCAGGGCCCGTTCCTGGCTACGAGACTCGATCATGTTCAGACGGATCAAAGCAGACACGGCGTGGACCATGCTCTGCACTTCATCGGAATTGAGAAATTTCGAGCTAAGCAGCGCACCGTGCACGTCAGCTTCTCCAATTGGACTTTGCAGAGGTGACCCCGTGTGAAGGGAGAACGCGCAGATGGCCCAGATGGCCCGGAGTACTGAGAGCTGGCGGCGAAGGCGGTCCTTGTGTTCGAGTAGATTGCTGTTGGAGCCAGCCATGAAATCGGCGAGACGCTGGCCGAGATGGACCTCTGGATCACGTAAGAGGGACAGGAATAGTGCCTGATACACGCTTCGAGGCTTGTTTTTATCAAAATCCCACAGCGTCTGGGGGAGCCCCTCGACGAGTTTCTCAAGCTCGTCATCGTCAGAGAGAGACTGGACAGCCCACGCAAGTGTCCGGGTCTCCGTCTCAACGGGAGGATACAGTGATGCCGCTTTCAAAGCATCCACCATGCTCTGAGACTGCAAAAGAGTATCTGCAGGTGCAGAAGGCTCGGCAGAGGCATCGGGGTTTGTCAGAGCAGATCCGGCTCCGTTCTCGGGGTCTGTCACAGCAATTTTCTCTTGTAGGAAGGTCTTGCAAGCAGCCACTGCCCTGCAAATATAAACCCTCAGCACACGTCCCAAGCTCTGATTCAGCGACCAGAGGATTCGTGTGAGCGGTGTCTGATATGGACAGTCGAAGAAAAGCAGGGGGAGTGTGGTGAATGTTACGTAGACCAGGACAAAAACAAGCAGAAGAGCAGAGCAGATTCCCATGATGATGACGTTGATGGGCACGAGAAATGCTACCAAGCCCGCAAAGAAAAGGACCAGTGCACCATGCAGCAGAAGCGGGGGAATGCCGACAACAGCATGCATATTGAAGCGTCGTAAGCCGTAGTAAAGATACATGTACACACGCGCGCGGACAGAGGGAGACGAGAACATGGATGTGCGGTGCTGATACTCCTGCGCCCACTGCTTGACCAGAGTTGCGACGAGTGCGCTCGACAAGCTGAGCCCGAGGCTGGCGAACCAAAGTGCGTTGCAGATAAGGGAGGAGACCGGGGGGGAAAAGGCAGTAGGGGGAGGGAGTACGTTCGTCACCGCTGTGCCGTTGTTCATGTTCGCGAGCTGGTTCGAGATCTGGCTGAGCAGTGCGACGGTCTGGCTGAGGAGCACGACAGTCTGGCTGCCCGGGTCCGCGTTCAGCGTCTTGTAGCTGTCAATGATGAATGTTGTAATGACGCCCGAGAAGAGACCGGCCTGAGGTGCCACATTAAGAGAGAAACTCAGCTTGAAAACAGAAGGGGGGACGCACAAAGATCAGCAGTCCATCCATCTCGCTACGCCAGCCCTCGATGAGACCTTTATCGTAGCTCTCCGCCTCGGAAATGTAGATGCTCCAGAGCTTGTTCCCGCTAGCCCTCTCGCGCTCGTGGTGTGCTTCATCGGCCTCTCGTTTGTCGATGTGTGATTCGTCATCGACCTCCTCGCTGGCCAAGATCATGGCCCATATACGCTCTAAATTTTCGTTTGATTCGTCCATGGTTGAAGGCAGGAGGGAAACTACCGTGTCTGGTTTCCGCACAGCGTTTCTCCATATTATACACCGCCTCAGTGGAAAAATGCCATGTTTCACAGCCACCAAGCGCCCAACGTCAGAGCGGCAGATTCAGAGATAAGCGTTCAAGGAAGCCAACGCAAGCTCAGGCAGCACAAATATTGGCCGGCGGCGTACCCCAGGGCAGGGCAGTCCCTCGGCGCGTCCAGGAGATTGACAGATGCCACAAAACAGACTGGAATATGTCAGTGCCAGGACTTGGGCGCATGCGATGCAATGAATAGCCCCTGCCTTGACAGATCTTCGGGAAGATGTACTGACAGGGCCAATCTGGTGCCCAGTCATGGAGCGCACAGCTCTGGGCTTCCCTGACCTCGGCCGAGATGGCTCTCGCCGTGGTCCGCGGTCCTCGTGCGCTCTACAGCAACATCAGATGCAAGTCAAACTTTACCATGGATGCAGAGCATGCCGATTCTCAGAGAATCCGGTTCCCCTCGAACAGAAAACGATTCACACCGACGCCTTCGTTGGAGTGGATTGAAAACAACACATCAAGCTGGTGACGAGTCGGTAGTGACTGTGACTGTAGCAGCAGTGACAACACTCTGCATACCCATTTTCTGGCGACGCGTCGAGAATGACACCAGGGCCAATCCAAGCGGTGCTTGCACGCTCTGCAGCGATATCAGACGGTTAACATTGAACGCAGCGCCCACTGATTCTCAGAGAACGACGGGTCTCATTCAACTGATACCAGTTGTTCACAAACACCTTCGAGTGGATTGGAGGAAACACGCCCTGTCCCACGGCATCGGGCACAAGGTGCGAGTTGGTGCATCAGATCTCAGAATTCAGTCCCATGGTCTGATTCTATGGTATCAGACTGGCCGATTGTCAGCGGCTTGCATCCTTCCGGTCATGCCTTACCTGTCGCTGTTGTTCCTCTTTCCCGACCGTGGCTGCGCTAGATTGGATTTGAGAGCATCCAAGGTCCATTCATGGTGCGCTGTTCGCCTGGGACCTGTGCCATTACCGATCGTTGGCAGGTGAGTGGCACCCGATTTCAAGTTGCCCTGAGCGTGCTCTGTGACATACGGTCCGGAGGATCCGATCTGCGTGACCGTGATAAAAGTGGGTGCAACAGACTGAATCGGCGGAGGGTCTCACGTTGAACATACAGAGTAAATAGATTGTAGGCTACATCAATGGAAAATGACACCCTCTGCGGTGTTCACTCTACTCCCCGTCACTCCCAAGCAGGACAGACTCGGCCGGGATGTGCGCGGATCGGAGTCGCTTCTGTATCCCTTCCCGGATCTCTTGAGCATGGTCCCTGTGTTCTTCCTGCTGGTCTTCCGTCTGCACCTCCGACACAACCGTGTCCAGGACACGCAATGCATCCACATCGGTCATATAACCGTATAACCAGCTGCCAGCGACGACCCCACTGCTAAAGACGGCCCGGTGAAGCACCAGAAGAGCCCAACCCTATCCGCAGAATAGTTCTCTGGATATTTGCGGATGAATCCAGCGGTGGCGGCAGCGAATCGACCTTCCAGTCCGATCGGGATCACCGAAGGAATGGAAATGCCTACGTGGCGTTCCACCAAATAGAGCGTTGCAAAGTCTAGGTCCCGCTCTGTTTGATCTGGACTCTGGGCGGCACACTGCTCGAAGAGGGTGGCCAAAACACCCACACATGCACAACCATAAACTTGCCCAGCCGATGCCCGCTCCGTCCGTTCATCAGTGGCAAGGCCGAGCACGGCGCGGAACCAGGCCTTGTCGTCGAAGATACTCGGCAATCGCGCTGTGGAAATGGGCCTGATACACGCCGCGAGGCTTGCTGTTTTCGTAATCCCACGGATGTCTTCAAGTTCGGCAGCAGAGTCGGAGGGGTAGACCAAGACAAAGAGGCCCTGAAGAGCGGAAGAGATGCCCGTGATGATGATGTTGATGGCACAAGAAACACCACCAGACTCGCAAAAAACAGCACTAGTGAAGTGTGCAGGAGCAGGGGGGGGACCCCAACAACAAGATGCAGATTGAAGCGGCGCAAACCGTAGTAGAGATACATGTACACGCGCGAGCGGATGGAGGGGGAGGAGAACATGGTCGTTCGGAGCCGCACGGAGATCAACAGGCCGTCCATCTCACTGCGCCAGCCATCGATGAGACCTTGATCGTACTTCTCCACCTCGGAGATGTAGACGCCCCAGAGTTTGTTCCCAATAGCTTTCTCGCGTTCGGAAAACGCTTCAGCGGAGTCTCGTTCCTCGGTCTGTTGTTCGTCAGCTTGCGACATAGTCAAAGGCAAGAGGTGAGCTGCTGTGCATCGTGTCGCACAGCGTTTGCCGATACACGCTGCCTCACCAGGACAATGCCACAGCTCACAGCCACCAAGCGCTCAACGCCAGAGTAGCGGATTCACCCACACACCCAAGCTCGCACGTAGTCAGTTTTTGGCCGGCGGCGCATCCCTAGACATGGCAGTCCATCGGTGCTTCCAGGAGATGAACAGATTGCATCAAGTCCTGGTGAGACAGCATCGGCATCAGGAGGCGCAAATGTGTCGATGAGTCGCCGCAGAACATCAGCGAGCGAACGGGTCCCGGGAGATCATGAAAATCCAGTCAGATGCAATTTGGAAAGGGAGAGGGCCAAGTCAGATAGGCTCGTCGAGTTCGCAATTTTCCGCCCTTGGGTTTCCTTTTTGGGAAGCACGTGAGCGCCGGCGGCCGCTGATGAGAACACCGTTGACCGGCAGTTCTCATTTTCCGCCCTTGGGTTTCATCGAAAATCATTTCTTTTGAATAAATAGGGTACAGATACACGGAATAATGACTAAGTGTTAGAAATATACCTAGAATTCAAGGAGCTCAGGAAGAGGGGGCAAGGAAGTGGCATTTGCATCTACATAGAGGTACATATAACACTGTAGCTAGTAGAGATAAATAAACTTAGAGTTACTTGTGTATATGTATAGCAGAGGGCTGGAGGTGCTGTGTGGCACAGGATGAGGGAGAGCGGACGACGCGCAAAGAGCTGGGGATGAGGGAGTAGCGGAAGAAAGAGGGAAGGGAGGGCATCGGAAGTGACGCCGTGAGCAAGCGGTCACGGCATCACCTCCGATGCCCTCCCTCCGTCAAGTACTAGCGGTGGGGCGGAAGCCAAATGACGTAGAAGGCCGTTCGTGCACGCACATCGCGTGGCACGAACGGCTGGGGCGGGTTATCGTTGGATCGGCGCGTCGAATGGGAGGAGGGTGATGGGCAAGGGAGAAAGGTGGAAGGTCACGAGATCATCAACAAACATGCTTACTGGACAAGCACATCGATAATTAAAATAAAATAAATTAGGATCCGGAGCCTCCGTGTGCACGTGCCGGTGGCTTCCCAAAAAGGCAGGTCACGTGAAGAACACAAGGGCGGAAAGTCAAAAACTGGCTCGTCGTAGTTGGTCGATGTGACGTGATGCCATCATCGTCCCTTCGCTCGTAGCTCTTCTCGAAGTCGTACTGCCAGGCCAATCCGATGCAGGACCTGTGAAAATAGCCTCAAAGGTTGGCCCCCTAGTTGGACAGTTTTTGGTCAGGGAAGGCCGAGAAACTTAGCCCAAATTGGTAGGGTATTGGACAAAACTTTTGACTCTGGACAGGAATAGTTAGATCACGGGGTTGGACAGAATTTGGACAGGTCGGGTCTGGATTCGGGCAAGGTACTGAAGAAACCCTGGTTAGACGCATCACTTGTTTGATTCCCAACAATACCTTGCTATATCTAGAGTAACTAGAGTGATTTGAACCGATTTTGCTTGAAAATGTTTCCCCTAATTGATCGATCGCCATTGACCACCGTCGATTTTCGCTCCCATTGCTCCAGTCGTTGCCGACACTGTCGCAAACTCCCTCTGCAAGTACCAGGCCACCCAGATGACAACTGTCATCACTATCGGAGATGATATACCCTTCGATGCAAATGTATGGATTGGGCAGAAAAAGAAATGGCACAACGATATTCCCTGGGAAGTCATACGAGAAAAGAATCGAGTTCTAACGCCGCCGCCAGCCCAGGCTGCCGAAATCCTCCCGCCATCCAGTCTAGCGATCAGCAGCTTTGCCCATCTGCCATTGCCTCGAATCTCCTCCATTCTCGTACATGCCGAGAGCCCATTGTGGTTCAGCAACGAGGAGCCCACATGTGATGTCGCACGTCTTGCCGATCGCACCGTCCCGCATAAAATGCTTCTCGATATGCTGTCCCGCAAGATTGGGCAGGCATGGCTGAATGGAGCAAGATCAATCACTGATCCACGATACAACGAAGGAAACGAACGCTTGCTGTTGTACACTCTGACTCTGTGGCAGAGACTGGCGGAAGTGCATGGGATCCAGGTCCAGTGGAAGCGCGGGATGGATTGGCTGGAAAAGGAAAAGGATCATTTCAATACCGGTCCAGCGCACAAAGAGATACAGGACGCACTTGCCTCAATGACACGCGTTGGGTGGGCTGTACCCCTCAGCTTCATCCAGAACACCACAACGACTGCCGATCTGAAAGAGTTCGTTTCGTCCGTGTGGCTGCGAACAACAAACATGGACATCATGATGGAGAGTCTGCGAGTGCGCGTCGAGGCTGATGTGGATGATGAAAAAGCATGCAAGAGCATTGTTGCACCGATGTCATTTGTGAAGGATGTCGTGAAGGGGGACAAGGAAGGGTATTTGAGGAGGACGGTGCCACTGTTAGCAAGGTACGAGAAACTTGTGAGTGAGGGCAAGAAGGATCGGCTGGTTTTCATCACCAATGTGAGCGATGAACACTGGGTGGCAGGATGCATCGATTTTAAAGGACACAAGATTCTATTTGGTGAGGCGCTAGATCTCATATTCAGGCTTGAATCACTCACTGGCAATTAGGCGACTCCATGCCAGAGAATCTCCGCTACCCAATTTCGAAGAAACTGCTTCAAGGCCTTCAGCATTGGGTCCAGCGTCGGTTTGAAAGCACCTTTTCAGTCGAAGCTGATGGGTTGACGCACGGCACCCAGCTTGACGCAGTGTCTTGTGGTGTTGTAGCAGTGAATACGTGCGAGAGGGCCATATACCCAGATACTGCGGTCTGGAAAGGCAAACACGCTGTGCTCTATCGGGTGCAGCATTTCAACAAGTACATTGCAGATGTGAAAGCAGCGGTACGTACCATCCAGTCTTTTACCATTCCGTTTGCTGACGAGCTCTGTAGGACCTTTTGCCGCCATCCATACCACTGGCTCGTCCTATCGCTCCCAACAGTATCCCGTCTTCCCTTTATGCAGTCGATGCATCCCGGAGCCCACAGGCAGCCCGCATTTCGATCAGCCAATTGTTGAACCCAGAGCCGCTGCGTTCAGAGCGTCCTGCCAGTCTTCTCACAGTCTCAACGGTGTCAGCTCAGGACTGGACGGACGTAGATATCCTGTTGGGCAGAAACACGGCTAGCGACTATGAATCTGACGTGGAGATGGAGGACGCAGAAGAGGATGAGGAGGACGAGTCAGATGACATGGAGGGTGAGAAGATCAAGCAAGGCCTGTCAAATCGAGACGTCTCGAGCACATTCAATGCTACGACCTCGTCCCCAATGCATTCACGTCAAACGACATTGGCTTCGTTCTTTTCTGGTGTGAAACAAAAAGAGCCTGAAACCCGACCACCTCTCCCAACATTTCGCCCGAAGAAGAAGCTGAAAACGCACACGATCCCGATACCCACACCACACACTCCAGGAAAGAGCCATACATCGAAGTGGGCCCAGAAGATCAAGCAGCAATTCATGGACCAGAAGTTTGTAGTTGAGCCAGAGAAGTACGACAAGTGGAAGCAAGAGATTCGGAAACTGGACCCGCTCGCTGAGTTCCATCCTAAACCTGAATCCATGATGACATGGGAGAACTTTCGAACAGTGCGGCATGCAAGGTGTGGGACACATGTGTTATTAAAGCGACCATACGACATCTCCCGCTATCGAGACCATCTCGAGGCCGGCTGTGCAATCACACACAAGGGTGCAGGGATGCAGACACTCTTCACGCATTTCTCTGCCTCTGAATCAAGATCAGGCGGCGCTGCAACTCCCCTTTCCCAATCCTTGGACGCTCGTATTCACGATGAGCCCTGCCCCGGTGTGACTGAGGTCGACATACCGCACGTGGAACGCTACTTGAGACGAACCGGTGCAATGGGTGGAGGGTCTCGCTCTGTCTACAAGATTGCGCAGGCCCAGTTCAAGAACACTTTCAGTGGTCTGTCATCAAGGAAACAGGGTGTGGTGCGCGATACCCAACAGCACGAGTTGCGATGGAGGAATGATCATCAGCGTCTACGTGTGTTCTCCACTTCATGTCAGAAAACGGTCCCTGCCGGCGATATTCGATGTCTGCCCTGCTCGCGATGTTTCTCTCTCCTGTCCGATCGGGACTTCAAGCGTGCCTTGAGGAAGACAGGACCATCGAATCCCAAGAACTACATATACACCCCAAAGGAGTTTCAAAATCAGACTCTTGGGGAGATATATGGGCGCCACCAAGGATTACAAGCAATCATTGAGCAACCTGTGAGTGATAAAGACGATATCACCGCCTGTAACTCATGCGGCGAGATCCAGGATGCAAAATCCACACCCTGCATTCGTTATGCCCAGGGAGTCCTTGAAGGGAAATACACTAACGAGGTCTTCAACGGACTTGTGGAGGCGATGGTCTCAACGGCTGATCGAGAAGAACGCGGGGTTGGAATGCAGAACTTCAAATATCCCCCTGCATTTGACGAGTTCTGCAATGTCATGCGTATTACCAGTCCGGCGACCTATCGTGTCTTCAAAGACCATCTAACAGGGCGCAGCGAGAGAAGTTTCCGGTACGGATATCATTGCACCTGCTCTTCGATTAGACAGGTACTGAAATCCCTTTCCTTCCAGAATCAAAGAGGCCCGCGAACCGCGCTTTCCCATGGATATCTCAGACGTCAATTTCAATTTGGTTTCCGACTACTTGAATGCAATCAATTACCATGGTCCTGTTGGGTTGAGCTGTGACGACACGAAGCTCTTTGCCTCATTTCGACTGTATTGGGACAGTGAGAAGAAGTCTCATTTTCTAGTCGGCGGAACCGATGGACCTCTTCGAGTGGCGGATCCCGAGCAGGTCAAATCAGTCATCAAGGATGCAAAGGCCACGAAAGCCACAAAGATACGCTTGTGGTGTCTGACGGTACCCATGCCCGGTATCACACCAATTGTCGTGGCGGCACTGCCAATACCAGGAGACCTCAAGGTCGGAACGTTACTCGAGCACCTAACTAAGGTTGTGAATGGACTACTAGACCGCGGAATCGAAGTCATCTCGTACGCATGCGATGGAACGCAGGTCGAACGATCTGTCCAGGACGCGTTCGTCAAGCAGGCCACGGAAACGGAGACACACACCATAAAGGATCCGAGACAGTCAGGGCGTGACTTGTGCATAAAGATTGCCGTGGTCAAAGGGCAGCACATTGCTATGATGCAGGATCCAAAACACGCTTTGAAGACGTTCCGTAACAATCTGTTCTCGGGCGCGCGGCTTCTGTGTCTGGGGAGCTACACAGCAATTTACGAGCATATTCGTGAAATCGCATTTGCGGAAGGTTCCACCCTTTTCCATCGCGATGTCGAGAAGCTCGATCGACAGGACGACAATGCTGCGGTGCGATTGTTTTCGGCAGACACTCTAAAGTATCTGTCTGATCATCACCCTGGGTATCTGGGGGAGATCGTCTATCTCTTTGTATTCGGCGAGCTCATTGACGCATACCAAAGCCGGTCCATTGATCACGCGGAACGAGCGAGGATGGTGCTTCGCGCCCGATACTTTGTCGACTCCTGGAGCACATTTCTCGACATCTCCGGTTACTCAAAGACGGTGTATTTCCTTTCTCGGGAGGCCGTCGACATCATCCGATTCGTTGTGGAAGGTTATCTATCCCTGGTCTTCATACATCGGGATCACCTCAACGTCTTACACCCTCTGCTCCCTTGGTTCCATGCCAGTGAGGCTTGTGAACACGTTTTTGGCTGTGCTCGTCAGATTGTGAAGGATTTCACGATGCTTGACTTCCTTTACATGGTCCCAAAACTTCGTGTGAAGATGCGAAGCACTGTCCTGCGTGGGAAGTCCTCAGATTCAAAGAAGAGCGCGAAGGGCTACTCGCACACCTACTTCGATGTCACGGGTCTAAACTTACGTGCTTTATCTACCTTTCCAGACGACCTAACCATCTCCTCCATTGCTTCCGGAGCACTCGAAGAGTCGGACAGTCTTATTTTCTTGCTCGGCATCACACCGGTCCAGTTACACTCGGGCCCGTCACCGTCGCGCACCGTCCTGCCCAACATAGCGTCATGGTTCACCGTGGACAACGACGGGGAATCCGATATCGACGGCAATGGCGGCGAGTTCTCGGATACTGAGAGTGTGTCGGACGCGCAAGAGCTACATGATCTTGTGGAGGAGGCTCAAGGACGGTTGGACGCTGGTCCTAAGAGCAAGCGGGCGGAGCTATTAGACCTGACCGCTGCTGCACTGGCATTAGAGGCTGACGCGATGACCCAGATGTGAGTTTTCTCCCTGTGCGGTGCTGATTCTCAATCGACTAATCATTTCTAGCCACCATGTACCCGACCCGTCAGAGGAGGTTGTCGATGAGATGCTTGCTGAAGAGCAGGAGAATATCCGAACGATCTTCGAGTCGATCAACCCCACCGTCATTCCCTCGCTTGAGATGTCCGACGACTTGCCCTCAAAACCCATTGGGAAAGGCCTCGTCACCGCCGCCCGTCTCGACTTTGATTATCTGGTACACTTGCGTTCTATTCACCAGACTGCACAGGCTGCACGGTCGATCAAGACACGCACCATCGGCTTGAACGACTCTTTGCCGACTTTGCAGGCCCGATCTACCGCCCACCGACAGCTTGTTCGTAAGCTCAATGCGGCCCTTCGAGAGCAGCAGGAACAGGCAGTGGGAACTGGAGCAGAACGAGGGCTGCGTTGGCGGAACTCAGCACCTGGAGGGCGCGGTGTGGGAGACAAACGGAAGGCAGGTAACAGCGAGAACGCTGCAGCAACAGCGACTGCACTGGCACGCGCGGTATGTGAATGCAATGCACGTCATCAATTCGTTCTCACACCCCATGTGCAGGCGGCGACTAAACGAAAAAAGGTGTTCATTGACGCAAAGGTCCCAAACCTGTCGGAGGTCATCGATGCCCGAATCTCAATGATACGTCCATTACTTCCAGGACAGTACGGGTTCGTCTTCACATCTCAAGGACTCATGGTCGGCAAGGGTGGGTCAGTTCGACTTCGAATATCTGAGATGATCCTCACCGCTCTATCGCGTCTAGTCTTTGCAATGCGCGCGAAAGGAGGTGGTCAATATGGCAAACACGACGCCGTTACGGATTCAAGTAGCATCTCGGCATTATCGAAGGTCTCGGTCCAGCTTTTCGAACAGATCCACGGTGCCCATTTCCGCTCCATCCCCACCGCAACAGCGTCTCTCCAAACGTTACAATTCGCTCATCTCCCCTCGATCGCATTCTTATGTGTAATTTCGGCACCCGAGGCTACGCCTTCAGGACTTGTTCTCGCTGATAGTGAAGTCCAACGCTTCAAAAGCCTTGCGCTTGGTAAAGCAAAGTTCGCATTGGCCTTAAGTAACTTCAACAAACGCGTTAGAGCCGAGGAGGAGGTCGAATAGGGCGCAAACACGTCAGAAATGCTGCCAGAGCTCGAATTTTCAATTTCATAGGCATCTACATAGGAAAAAAATGATTTTTCGAGGTCATGTACAGATTGGACAAAAATCCTGGGCTCAAGACCGATCGACGTTGGACAGATCTCGGGCCGGCCGGCCGATTTTGGGGCTAACCTCTGAAGCTATTTTCACAGGTCCTTCCGATGCCTGCTCATGTTGTACACACTTGCCTCCGGCCCAAGTTGGCTCTCCCCGGAGTGCACGACACTGGCGCACTCTGCAGCAATATTGGATCGACTTCGCACTTCGCCATGGATTCAGGGCACGCCAAATTCTGAGAGGAATGCGGCTCTCATCGGAGTGAAACTGGTTGTTCACAGATGTCATTCGTTTGAGTGGGTCAAAAAGTTTCAAGAAACGCGGGTGTCAGACCCCGCGAGGCATTCGTCACGAGTCTGAAATGCGGCAGCCGCAACGACCATCCGTGCACACACATTCTCTGGCTATGTGGAAGCTATGCTTGGCGCAACAGCCGTAGAACTTGGGCGCTACTAGGCTCAATCAACTGGAAGACCAGATTTCTCAGCTGTGGCATCCTCATGCACCGAAGCAATCGACACGAGGGAAAGTCTACCGCGCATGGGTACCGCCCGGGACCTCGCGTTGATCCACGCTATCACCTGGGTGCCATTCGACTACCGTTCCCTACAGTCCAAGATGTGTATGCGACAGAGATGGTCGCACATTGGGTGTCGTGCCAAGATTTGAAGCACTCTCATGCGGCTTAGTATCATGTCTTCGACATCCGAGCCCGTCTAGGAGGGCCACAAGCCTCGCCGCTCTGTAAACGCTGGGTTGATGGCGATATTCCAATCCCTATGTGCCAGAGAAAGCAGCATTGAGAGTACCTGGCTATCTGTGTGCTGTTTGCGTAAACGGCACAATGGGTGAGTCGATTCATCGCACTTCAGCTTCAGTGTCTCATTTTGCGGCATTAGTTTGGTCGTCTGTGTCAGTAGATTGCATTCTTTCCGATCCCGCTTGATCTGACATGACAGTGCCAGGTGGATTTCGAAGGCACTGAAGCTCGAGGTGCAGTGCACTTCCGTATGGGAGTCGTTGCTCGCCGATTGCTGGCAGGTGGGCAGGCTTCCTTTCGTCGTCAGTTCTGTTTCGATTTTTTTCCAGATCTCAGGCCTCGGCGACGGGTCGGCTGCCGACATGTTCGCAGCGTTTCGTTCACTACGGGCTCCCGTAGGACGTCGAGCAGTCAGAGGTCAAGGATAGGACCCCCAATCCTCACGCACGTCGCTCAAGATGAGATCCCATTCATGAGTCATACAAGTCGGTGTCAACAATGTCTTGACATTGCGGTGCGTGTCCTTAGGCAACACCTGCGTCCATCTCAATAAAACATCCAGCGCTTCTCCCGGCTCACAGATGCTGCTTTGCACTTGTCATCCCAAACTATCCGTGTGCACCGGTGACCCTCGTGGGCAATAATCGCTAAAAAAGTCACAAGGCTCGAGCAGACGCGGTAATCTTGTTTCTCGATCGACGCCCCAAACGCGCACAGCACGTCATCCCTCACACATGCCGCTACATACGCGGTCGCTTCGACGTGACTGGGGCGGCCGGCCCGAATCCTCCTCCTTGCCTTGGTTCTCGTACCACGCAGTGACACAGCATCCTGGCCGCGGGGATTCGCACCCTACCCCGTCCAAGACGGTGCACACGGACGCGTCGTCATTGGTCACCCACTATCAGACTGGGCACCTCGGAGCATTTCGGCTACTGTTCCCTGCAGTCCAAGATATGAATACGGCGGAAACGGTCGCACATCGAGTGTGGCGCGAGATTCGAAATACCATCATGTGGATTCTCATGCTTCGACACTCGAAAAAACATCGGAACGAGACAGGTTCTGGAGCGCAGCGGGCCAAACCGCTTCCCATTGTACCTGTCTGTAAGTACTTGATCGACACGTCACATGCCACAAACAGACCTAAACTGCTGCAATCAAATTCTGACGTCGCCTCAGGATCGCCACGATTCAGCTAGCTGCTCTGGGGACTTGTCCTGGTCGCCCAATCCGACGACCTGCCTAGTTCTGCGTTCAAGCTTTATGCTTTATCAAATCTTTGACGCTCTTCCTGCTGTTGCCGAAGCCTGGATGGACGGTCTGCCCCCAGCACGCGCGACGCAGCACAGCAGCCATCTCTTGTACAGCCAGTAGTGTTGCCGCGGTTCGGTTCGGTCCGGTTTTTCGACAAAATTTCCGAACCTTGAACCGGACCTCATCTCAGGTTCAATGCCTTGGCCGAACCTGAACTTGACCAGCGGTTCGGTCCATAGCGGTTCGGTTCTGGCTCCCACAGGTTCGGTTCAGGTTCGAACCGGTTCGAACCTGGCTTTTTTGTATAACTTCATGTATCTCATAAATTGTTCTAATCTTGGTGTATTTTGCTTCCAATTTGAACTGTGTTCATCATCTGCCAAAGTATGAATTTTTTAATGGCTGTATGGGCTGGATAAATCATCCTGAGCCTGCTCCGGCCCATCAGTCAGGCCGGGCCGAGCTTCAAAAGCCCGAGGCCGGGTACCCTAACCCTAGAAAAGGCCTCCATTCCACTGTACACCCCTTCCTTATGAGTGAGCAGATAGCGGAGCTCGGAAGTACAGAAATCAGGTATGTATAATTTTTCTTACTTCTAATACTTCTTCAATCAATCCCTGTGGACAAATGCTCAGGTTCGAACCGGTTCGAACCGGTTCTTACAGGTTCTTACAGGTTCAGCAAAATTTGCTCCTGCCTTGAACCTTGAACCGGACCTGAAATCTGGTCAAGTTCAAGCGGTCCCAGTGAACTGGACTCAGGTCCGGTTCAGGTTCAGAACCGGTTCTCTCAGGTTCAGAACCGGACCGCGGCAACACTAACAGCCAGCAATCAATTTTTTGGTCTGGCCCTTCCTCTCACATCTGTGAATCTCGCTTGTTTGTTGCGAATAAAGTGTATATAGCTCACCTGCTCCTCCGGCTCCTCTGCGATGCTATCAACATACTATCCCGCTCAGCAGCCAGCTCATGCGCCCTCATTTGATGGTCGCTGTTTGTGTGGGCTCTTTGCTCAGTCAGGTTTCTGACTTGTGCCCCAGATATCTGCTCGACGCGTCTCTCACCGATCTCTCGCGTGCATGTTTGCCACGTCCACCGCATCCTGCACGAGCCGCCCATACCCCTGCCTTCGCTCCTGGTGCAGCACACGGCCAGATTAGCACCGCAGCACCGCAGCACCAAGGAGATGCGTTATCTTCGCGGACAGTATCTTCGCCAACAGTGTTACAATTACCACGCGACTGATCTGCCTTTCTGGCGCAGGTCAACGCTGAACTTGGGCAAGACCGCGTGTAACCAGTGCAGTTTGCATGAGCAGACCCACCTGTGTGCTCGGCCACTACGTTTCGACGAGCTACGGGCTAAGGAGGGGTATCGGCGGTGGCAGCTCGAGGAACAGCTTCGTCTGGGAGTTGTTGAAGAGATACGTCAGGAGAGCTACTTATGAATGCGACGGCGGCGGCAGCAACATCAACATCAACAACATCATGCGCGCTCTCATGCCCAACTGGTTTTGCCGCACGGGCTGTTCCGACCGGCATATCAGGCGATGCGGTCCGGCTATGAGCATCCGCAGAAGCGACAGCAGCGGTCGGCCACACCCTCCTCCTCGCCTTTGTCTTCATAAGGCGCTGTGACTGTCTCAAGATCCGGAACATCCCGGGTGAATTCGAGGAGCTACAGCCCATAGTCTCAGTGGGACGCAAAAGAGTTCGGGCTGACTCCCGTTGCGATCGTCGGCGCGCGCGAGCACATCTTCTGGGAGAACATCGGTATCCTCGGCGATCCTGCTGCTAGCAACGAGCAAACGTTCGGTACGCTGCTTGCGCGGTCCATGGCGTGGATTGGCGGCAAGCTGCACTGCGGACTTCCTGACTTCCTGAACGCGATCTACATGACGACCCGCGGAGGCGTGTCAAAGGCGTAGAAGGGCTTGAATCTGAACGAGGATATCTACGCTGGCATGAACGCGTTTGGTCGGGGAGGGAGGATCAAGCACACTGAGTACTTCCAGTGTGGAAAGGGGCGTGATCTTGGGTTCGGGACTATCCTCAACTTCCAGACGAAGATCGGCACGGGTATGGGCGAGCAGATGCTCAGTCGCGAGTACTATTATCTCGGCACGCAGCTCCCCATCGACCGGTTCTTGACGTTCTACTACGGCCATCCGGGATTCCACATCATCAACATGCTCGTCATTCTGTCTGTACAGGTTTGCATTGTCACTCGTGAGTGTCTGAATGCTGTTTTTGACTGCGTGTTCTGACATCCGTTCGCAGTGGTCTTTGCCGCATCTCTAACATTGAGTATCACGATCTGCAAGTGCACGTCGTCGGGACGTTTATCTCTGCTCATGCGGATGCTATAACTTGATGAACGTCGCTTCCTGGATCCACCAGTGTATCATCGGTATCTTCTCGGTCTTCATCCGAGGCTTCTCCACGTCCATCAATCCTCCTCCGCACATGCCATCTCCAACTATCCAAATGATCCTGGGAAGATCCTATTTGCGCCGACCTTCTTGCTGGTCTACCATTGTGCATGTGAGCTGCTCCCTAGTTTGAGGACGCAGGCACAAGTGTTGCTGTCTCAGATTGCTCGAATCGTGATCGCAAACGGCACCTTCGAGTCGTCTGGGCCCCAAAAGGACGAGCTGTAGATTCTCAGTGCGACGAGGTATCCACTGACGACGCAAGTGAAGCCGACCAAAACACCGCCTTCCTGGTGCTCATTGTCGAATTTGTCCTCAAGAGAGTTCCGTAACGTGCAGTCTCTACGTGACGCGTGACAATCGTGGATGGATGTGCGTAGACTAAATCGACGAAGGGTCTCAGGCGAAGTGAAGAGGATCTCGTTGAATATACAGCATACATGGATTCAGGCGAAATCAAAGGAAAATGACACCTTCTGCAATGGTCCCTTCATTCCCCATCACTCACGAGCGAGACAAAGGCAGCAAAAATGTCCTCGGGCAGAAGAAGCCACTCCTGCATGTATCCGCGGATTGTTGCAGCGTTGTCCCGGTGTTCTTGCTGCTGATCGTCCGTCTGCACCTCCGACACAGCCGTGTCCAGGACGCGCAACACACCCACATCGGTCATCCACCTCCTGTACTTATTGACAGCCTGGTCAAGCACCCAGAAGAGCCCGTTCTCATCTGCAAGACAGCCCTTTGGATATTTGCGGATGAATGCAGACACGGCGTTGGCAAATCGACGTTGCAATCCAGTCGGGATCACCGAATAAATGTACTTGTCTGTGTGACGTACCGCTTTGAGTGTGTCAAAGTCCATGTTGCGCTCCGTTTGATCCGGACTCCGGGTGGTGCACTGCTCGAAGAGGGTGGTCCAAACACCTATACGTGCACACTTGTAAACTTGCTCAGCCGATGCCCGCTCTGTTCGTTTATTGTTGTCAAGGCCGAGCTTGGAACGGAACCAGTGCTCGTCCTGGAAAATACTCGGCAATCGCTGCCATTCCGACAAATAGTCCCGGAAACATTTGAGCACGATGCACTGGACAATGGCAGCCAAACGGTGCGTGCGGATGTTGGCTGCATGAGTGCGCAGAGTGCGGAGGACCAACAGATGGGTATCCCAGTCGCTTGGTGGAACATCGGACTCGAGCAAATTCCGATAGATAAGCTGGAGGGCCTCGACAGATTCCTGGGGATCAAATCGTAACTTCAAGTTGTCGCATAGCTTGTGGCACAGAAATCGGGTGTAATGATGCTTTGAGTCGAGTTTTGGGTCGGAGGCGGCGAGGGACGGATGTCGGACAAGGAACGGCCCAAGACCCAGCAGCGATAACTGCGGATATTCCGATGTCTGGCCCTGGGTAACCAGCGACACCAAAAGGCGCAACACCGGCATCACTGGATATTCCGATGTGTGGGCAAACGGGCTGATCATCAGACGAGCAGCAAAGACGACGTTGTCTGCTGTTGTCTCGTCCGCTGTCCTGTCCAACGCTGATTTGATCAGCTGTCCGAGAGCGTCATGCAGAGTTCTATAGCCATCCGCTTCCGTGAAGCGCATTTGTGACCGATCAAAGAGTGAAATGGTCTGTTCCCGTTGAAAGGTGGCAGTGCATTTTGAAAGTGCCAGCAGATATTGTGTATACGTCCGATGCATGTCCGAATACCGTTGCTTCTCCGCTTCAGTGTCGGAGTCCCTCGGCTGTGCAGAAGCCTCACCCTGGCTCCGAGACTCGATCTTGTTGAGACGGATCAAAGCGGACACGTCAGGCAGCATGCTCTGCATGTCAGGAGAACTGAGAAATTTCGAGCCAAGCAACGCGTTGTGCACGTTGGCTTCTCCAATCGGACTTTGTAGAGGCGACCCGGTGTGCAGAGAGAACGCGCAAATGGCCCAGATGGCCCGGAGCACGGACAGCTGGCGGCGGACGCGATCCTTGTGCTCGAGCAGATTGCTGTTCGAGCCAGCCATGAAATCGGCGAGACGCTGGCCCAGATGGACTTCCGGATCACGCAACAGGGACTGGAACAGTGCCTGATAAACGCTACGAGGCTTGTTCGTATCGGAATTCCACAGCGTCTGGGGGAGCCCCTCGACAAGTTTCTCGAGCTCCTCGTCGTCAGATAGAGAGCGGACTGTCCATGCGAGCGCCCGGGTCTCCGTCTTGACCAGAGGATGCAGTGCTTCTGATTTCATGGCGTCGACCATGCTCTGCGACTCCGGACGGGTATGTGCAGAAGATTCAGTGCCCGTCACAGAAGATTCAGTGCCTGTCACACAAGATTCAGTGCTCGACACGGCAGATTCAGTGTCTTTCTCGAGGTCGGTCACAGCGACTTGGGTTCGGATGAAGGCCTTGCAAACTGCCGCTGCCCCTCGAAGATAAGCCCTCAGTACGCTTCCCAAGCTCTGATTCAGCGACCAGAGGATTCGCGTGAGTGGCGTCTGGTACGGACAGTCAAGGAAAAACAACGGGAGCGCGGTGAACGTTCCATAGACCGAGACAGAGAGGAACAGCAGAGCGCATGTCATGCCCGTGATGATGATGTTGATGGGCACCAGAAATGCGACGAGACCCGCAAAGAAGAGGAGCAGTGCCGCGTGCAGCAGAAGCGGGGGAACGCCAACAACAGCATGCATATTGAAGCGTTGTAAGCCGTAGTACAGATACATGTACACGCGCGCACGGACAGAAGGAGACGAGAACATCGATGTGCGGTGTTGGTACTCCTGCGCCCACTGCTTAACCAGAGTCGCGACGAGTGCACTCGACAAGCTCAGTGCGAGACTGGTGAACCAGAGTGCGTTGCAGACGAGCGCTGAGACCGGGGGCGAGAAGGCAGTGGCGGGAGGCAGTGTGTCCGCCATTGCAGTCCCGTTATTCATGTTCGCAAGTTGTTGCGAGATCTGGCTGAGCAGCAAAACCGTTTGGCTGAGCAGCACAACAGTCTGGCTGCCCGAATCGGGATTAAGCGTCTTATAACTATCGATGATGAAGGTGGTGATAACGCCAGAGAAGAGACCGGCCTAAAGAGTCACATTCAGCAGGTGGCCAGGAATCAGAACGGTGGGAGACGCACGAAGATCAGCATACCATCCATCTCGCTGCGCCAGCCATCGAGGAGACCCTGATCGTAGTTTTGCGCCTCGCTGATGTAGGCACTCCAGAGTTTGTTCCCGCTGGCCCTCTCGCGCTCGATACGCTCTTCGTTAGCCTGCGATTCTGCGGACTTTTGTTCGTCGGTCTGTTCTTCTTCAGCTTGTGACATGGTCCAAGTTAAGAGGTGGAGTGATTTGCCTCGTGTTCGAGCGGCGTCTTCTCATGCACGCTGCCTCACCAGGACGTTGCCACGGTTCACAGCCACCAAGTGACCGGCGTCAGATTGGCGGATTTAGACACAGTCGTTCAAGGAAGCCAGAGCAAGCTCGGGCAGCACAAAAAATGGCCAGCGGCGTATCCCAGGACATGGCAGTCCTTTGGCGCCTCCAGCAGATTGACAGAGGAGATTAAGCACTAGGAAGACAGCGTCGGCCCCAGGAGGCGCCCATGCATTCCCGAGTCGCTGCTGAGTGTCAGTGAGCACTGAGCAGACGGAAGATTGTTAAAATCCGGAGAGATGCATCATTTCGAAAAGGGAAGAGTAGATTCAGATGGGCCCGTTGTACTTGGTCACATGCGGTGTAGAGCGATCGTCCCGTCTCTCACAGCTCTTCTCAAAGTCGCACTGCCATGTCCAATCCGATGTTCTGTCAGGCAGTCGAGAGCTCCGATCTTCCTGACCTCGGCCGAGAGCAATATCAGATAGATTGCCTTTCTTCACCATGGATGCAGCGCACGCCCATTCTGAGAGTGATGCTGTCCGCATCGAAATGAAATCGGTTGTTCACAAACACCTTTTGATTGAAGTGGATTGAAATTTGAAAGAAACACTGTGACGTGCTGTCACACTTCATCAAGCTCGTCACGAATCTCGAATTCCCTAGCGCTGCAACAACGACGACATCTTGCATACCCTTTCTCAACCGACGCGTCGGGAATCGACTTCGACTTTGGGAACTGCCGTATCGCACTAAACCAGGAGACAAACCGTGTGTGCGGGCTCTAATTGGCGCAAGCGCCGTGGTTCTTTGGCGCTCTCACCTCAAGTCAACTCTACGGCCGCGGTAACTTGAGCTGTGAAGGCAATCGGCACGAGGGTCAATCCAACCCTCATTAGTACGACCTAAAACCTGGCGTTGATCCATGTTATCCTATGCTTTCGTGCACTGGGTGACAGAAAACCGCCGCCCTTCTCTGCCCACGATGCGAGGGCGTGTGTACTGTAGAGAATACGGCGTCGAGAGCACCGGGGCTATCCTTGGGTTGGCTGCTCAAATGGCGCAGAGTGTAAAGGCCATTCAGATTCTCAGGCTCTGGCAACACGTCTGCTGCCGATATACGCGCTGCCTGTCTTGGAATGGCAACGATTCCCAAGACATCAAGCACTGGCCGAGGATGGTGCCCCTCAATCTTCATGCACGCCATTCCCGGTGAGATCCTGTTTTCGGCGTTCACGACTCGCTGGTTGACGACGATGTATCGACGTTCTAGTGCGCGCCCTGAGGAAACACGCGCATCTTCCTCATAATCACATCTAGCGCTTCTCTACGTTGTCCGATCCTTCGCACATCCCGTCTGCAACCACTCCAATGATCATATTTCAAGCCCTTTTGCGCAGGTATTCCTGGGTGGATGATGATCACTTTCTGCTCCGAGGAAGCAATTCCAAGTGTTTCCGTCTGAGATTTGCTCCCTTCTGGGTGCTGCAGACACACTCTTTCCCTGCGTCGGTGGATGTTAGTTCGTGTCTGTTTGTCCACCTCTTCAGCCTCAATGCGTACAGATCGTGCTGTCTCGCCTCGATATGTCCTAGCTCCAAAACAGGTCAGTTTGTGCCGATCACCCAGCGGCTGACAAAACGGGCGCTGATCTGTTTGAAGAATCGCGCAACTGGATCTCTCGCAACACCGCCGAGCCCTCCCAGCGCGAACAGGAAAAGCTGTCCATCTACATAATAGGGAAGACGCCTACGCTGACGACCAAAGCCGAACGGCCCAAACACCCCTGCCTGGTGCTCGTTATAGAATGGAGTCAAGCAAACCGCTCGAGTACGATTTTTCGCGCGCGGGGGTGCATCCAAGTGTGCTCATGGATTTGCGACAGAGAGTGACAAAAACACGCATGGCCAGTCGGGACCGGGGACCCGTCAGAATGAGCCATGATCATGATGGACTGCAGTGGCAGCGCCAATCCGCTCTGCAAGCCGGTCAGGTGACCAACACTGCCGTCAGGGCCGCCAGACTGTTGTTCTGTCCGTCCACCACTCTCATTTCTGAGCGCTCTGTACTCGATCGACACATCACAAGCAGACCTAAACTTCTGCTGCTATGAAGTTCAGACCGTGGCCCTTGTTGCCTTGGGATCTCCCATGTGTCTCAGGGATGTCGAGTGTCCGCCACGAATTAGCTCTAGGGACTTGTCCTGATCGCCCAATTCGGCAGGCTGTCTAACTCTACGCTCCAGTTCATGCTTTATTGAATTGTGGACGGCTTCCTTGCTGTTGCGGGTGGGTCAACAGTCGCCGCATTTCCGCGCTTCCTACTTCCCGATCGCTAGTACAGCCAGCCATCGACTTTGGGGTCCTGTCCTGCCTCCGACATCTGCGAATGTCGCTTTTCTGTTGCGATCACGCTCCATTGCGACGGGTTCGCATGCATGTCTCGCTCTGTGAGCTCAGCCATCCTAGACGGTGGTCTTAAACTACGGGCGAATCTGATGCTCTCGCTCCATCAGCGCACGGGCCTGGCCACTGCCTAGAATGTTTTTGTTCATCTGCTCATGTGTCCACGGTACTTCTGGGTCCTCGGTGGGGGTATACAACATGCTATCTCGCTCAGCGACTCGCTTGCTGACTTGTCTGCTCCAGATGTCTGCTCGACACGTCTCTTGCCCGTCTCTCGTATGCCCACTCACCACGCGCATTGCGCCTCGCATAGGCCATACGCTCCCAGTGCGGCACTCGGACGAAGGAGACACCGTATCTTCACCGACAGTATCTTCGCCCATGGTATTCTTACTGTCACACGACCGAGTTGCATTCCTAGCACCAGTTGACGCTCAGCCGGGGCAAGATTAGGTGCGACAATTCGGGTATGCATGGGTGGACCCGGGTGCGCGCTAGCGGAACCGGCGGCAAGAGCTGGAAGAGTGCCTTGCGCGGCATTTTACCGATGAGGGCTGGTCCAGCTAGCCTTCCTTAGCCCCAGAGCAGGATCATCCTGCGTCTCACAAACGTGCGCCGCATTTGGTCGAACATCTGTGCAACGGCGCTGCAGCGATCATTTCGAGCACCATCTTTGGGCCGTCCCGGGCCGGAAACGACGAGCAGGAAGACGTATTCGCCGACGATAAATTCCGATTCCATCTAAGTATTAATTGGATTTCTTATGCTCTGCCGACATTCTAGCCGTTGTTCGTTGCCTGCGAGTTGCTATAGGACATCAGTTCGTCCTTGGTCGGGGATGATACTTTCAATCTCGATGTATGTCGTTCGAGATGGGGTTCCTTGCTCTCTTTTCTGATAGCACCTCAAGCCCGCAACCGGCGTGATCTACTCTGGGTGGTGCTCATCACCAATTGTTTGTACGTGGTCAGGCGTGCTTGCGCATGCTCTATCTTGGTGCTCATTGTGATTCTCAGCACTCGGCGACGCGTCCAGAGCGATATTCTTGCTGCCTCTCGTGGACTGAGAGCTGAGACAAGACATCGAGCAGTCTCTGGCCGAGGATGTTGCTTCAAAGTCCCCATGGATGGCATTCTTGGTAGGATCGCGCTTTCGTAATCTATGAGTCTCGCTCGGTGCTCACGATGGATCGATATCTCGGTGCGTGCCTCGAGGTAGCACGCGTGTTGATCTAATCAGTACGCTGCACAACATCATCGTTCTGGGCCGAGGCCGGCAACAGCCAACCCGACCAATACACCATCTTCCGAGTGCTTGTCGTGAGATTCACCCCGAGCAGCCGCTCACGGGCCCTCCGTCGTTCGCGGGTGTGCAGTCGAGTCTGATGAACAAGCTGAAGGAATTCGATGTCACGCTGAATGCCCAATTCCAAGGAGGTTACTGCACATCGCTGGAGGGGAAGCGTCCGTACCAGCGGTGGCAGCGACAACGGCAGGAAGGAGAACTGGCAGAAAGAGCTCGAATAACAGCTTTGGTTGTAGCATGTTGAAGAGTAGCATCAGGAAGGGCTCCGAATGCGGTAGCAGCAGCAACAACAGCAGTGACTGCGGCGGCGGGCCACATTCTCCTCCCCGGTTTCGTCCTCGTATCACAGTGTGGCCAGGCATGCTAGCCACGGGCACTCACATCCTACCTCGTCTGGTGGCTCTGCTGCTGAGACAGTGGACTAGGATACGTTGTCGCCAGCAATGCAGTTTCAGCAGCAGCAACGAGATCAGTGGGCTGGCGGCCAAGCATTCCGGCCCGCGTTACACCGTGGACGGCGCGATGTGTGAGCCGGCGGCAGAGAATCTCAGGCTGTCTGAGCATTGGCAGCAATACCAGTCGAAGGTCACGTCGCCGAGGATATGGACAACCATGGGCAGGGATTGTGCGCAGGGTTCCTTTTGGCGCGGTCCCGTTGGACAGGACTTCATCGGTCCAGATCCAGAGGGCGCAGTCTAGACTAAGCACCAGTGGGACAGAGGGACAAGGAATCAGGCTTCACGGCCCGGCCCCGGAAACCGCTTGAGAAAGAACGGACTCCCACGACGTGTTGACGTAGCACGTCGGCTGACAGGTTTCGAGAGGATTGCAAGCTGTGCCAGGTCGGAACGAGGCATGCATCTCCAGTTGCAGTGCCAAAGCGAGAAATTCCACCCAATCTGGATGCCAAATATCCGCGAACGAATGGGTCCGACCACCACCTGGACCGCCTTGAGAACGCTGTCCAGTCCTCGATTTGCAGCCAATCGGACACAGACGGCTGCTCTCTCAGCGAGATTGCCCCGCAGATCCCATGCCCGCTTCGGTCAGCTCATGGTCACTCCCATCCTGAGTATCACTCATCTTCGTCTCATTCAAGGTATCATTCTGCTCTGAAATGCGCTCGATAGTCGTCTGGATCATCCAATGATTAGGCCGCTCAAGATCGCGGTCGGCAATAGGAAGTGGCACTTGCCCGTGCACCTCGAGTGGTCTCTGCGGAGATACGCCTGGCTTCGATCATCGTATTGGATCTGATTCCGTCGAGGTCTCGTTGATTGCCGTCATATCGAACCGGGCTAGCGTGATGTCGCACCAGACGGCCAAGTCGTAGGCATCGATCACATCCTTGAGTTCGGTGGCCTGTCGATCGTGAACTTGGTGGAAGATGCAGGATTAAGATGGCCGGCTTGGTGCGTCTTTCTTTTATTTGCGTGGGTGCCAACTGGTCAATGCATATACAGTGCATAGCAAGGACACCTTGGCGGCAGGCCGTACGATTCCGTCCACTGTCGATGCTGCTACGCCCACGATCCGTCAGGCTCTGGTCGAGCCACTGGCTCAGACGGGAAGCACATTCATCTCTGATGGCAGGGACGCTTGGCACATTGTCCAAATCGCCAAAGACGCAGTGCATGGACGCGGCCTTTGGAATGTCGACTCAACGAGTGTCGGTGCTCCAGAGGGCGCGGTCAGCGGAGGTCTTATACCGGAAAGGGAAGTTCCAGGATCTTAGCTGCTTGACTGTTGCACTCGACTAGCTCATGCTCGTGTTACTCGTCATACGTGTAAAATACATGGATCGCTGGGAGATTACATGAAAGCAACTCCCTCTGTGCATTCGGTCCCTCTAATGCCCGTCACTCACGAGTGAAACAAAGGCGGCATAAATGATCTCGGGAAGAAGGAGCCGGTCCTTCATTTGTTCGCGGATTCGTTGAGCACGGTCCCGGTGTGATTGCTGCTGATTGTCCTTCTGCACCTCCGACACAGCCGTGTCCAGGATGCGCAATGCGTCCGAATCCTTGATCCATCCGTTGTCCTCATCGATGGCCCAGTGAAGCACCGCGTAGACCTCAGTCCCATCCGCAAGACAGTTCGCCGGATGTTTGCGGATGAATCCGGCGGCGGCGTCGGCGAATCGACGTTGCAGTCCAGTCGGGATCACCGAAGAAACGGGGATGTATACGCATACCTCTTTGAGCGTCGCCAAGTTCAAGTCGTGCTCCGTTTGATCCGGATTCCCGGCTGTACCCTGCTCGAGGAAAGTGGTTACAAGTCCCACATATGTACAGTGATAAATTTTCCGTGCCGATGCCCGCCCCGTCCGTTTCTCGTTGTCAAGGCCGATCACGGCGCGGAACCAGGCCTTGTCCACGAAGATACTTGGCAATTGCTCCCATTCCGGCAGATTCTCCGATGCTGACAGATCCTTCTTGAAACTTTTGAGCACAACAGACTGAACGATGGCTGCCAAACGGTGCGTGCGGATGTCGGCTGCTTCAGTCCTCAGAGTGCAGAGGACAAAGAGATGAGTATCGAAGTCTCTAGGTGGCACATCAGACTGAAACAATTCCCGATAAATCAGCTCGAGGGCGTCGACAGATTCCTGAGGATTTGTTCGGGACCTCAAGTTTCTGCATAGATCGTGAAACAGGTATCGGGTGTAATGATGTTCTGAGTCCAATTTTGGGTCGGAGGCGGCGACGGACGGATGTCGGACAAGGAACCGCGCAAGACCACGTAGCGACACGTATGAATATTTGGATGTTTGGGCAAACAGGGTAATTATCAGACGAGCAGAAAACACGAGATTGTCCGCTGTCTTGTTCGCTGCTTTGTCCGACGCGTATTTGATCAGTTCTTTGAGAACGTCTCGCAGAGTTCTGTAGCCGTCCGCTTCCGTGAAGAGCATTTGTGACCGGTCGAAGAGTGAATGGGTCGCTTCCCGTTGGAAGCTGGCAGCGCATTGGGAAAGTGCCAGCAGATAATCGAGATACGTCCGAAGCATCTCTGTTTGCCGTTCTCCCTTCGCTGCGGCGTCAGAGTCGCACTTTTGTGTGGAGGCCCGATCCTGGCTCCGAGACTTGGTCGTGTTCAGACGGATCAAAGCGGTCACGTCAAGGACCATGCTCTGCACGTCGGGAGAATCAATGAATTTTGAGCCAAGCAGAGCGTTGCGCACGTCGGCCTCTCCAATCGGACTTTGCAGCGGTGACCCCGTGTGAAGAGAGAATGCGCAGATCGCCCAGATGGCCCGGAGCACGGACAGCTGGCGGCGGACGCGGTCCTTGGGCTCGAGCAGATTACTGTTGGAGCCAGCCATGAAATCAACAAGACGCTGGCAGAGATGGACTTGTGGATTGCGCAACAACCTCTGGAAATGGGCCTGATACACGCTACGAGGCTTGCTATTTTCGAAATCCCACAGCGTCTGGGGGAGCCCCTCCACAAATGGCTCCAGCTCCTCATCGTCAGAGAGAGACCGGACAGTCCATGCCAGTGCCCGGGTCTCCGTCTCGACAGTGGAACGCAGTGCTTCTGATTTCAGGGCGTGCACCATGCTCTGGGACTGCGGACGACCGTCTGCAGAAGCCTCGGTGTTCGTCACAGAATATTCAGTGGCTTTCTCGGGGTCTGTCACACCACGTCTCTTTCGATAGAAAGCCCTGCAAATAGCCGCTGCCCTCCATATATAAGCCCTCAGCACGCTTCCCAAGCTCTGATTCAGCGACCACAAGATCCGTGTGAGTGGCGTCTGGTACGGACAGTCAAGGAAAAACAGCGGGAGTGCGGTGAACGTTCCATAGACGGAGACGAACAGGAGCAAAAGAGCAGAGGAGATGCCCATGATGATGTTGTTGACGGGCACCAGAAAGGCAACTAGACCCGCAAAGAACAGGACCAGTGCCCCATGCAAGAGAACCGGGGGAATGCCGACGACGGCATGCATATTGAAGCGGCGTAAGCCGTAGTAGAGATACATGTACACACGCGCGCGGACAGAGGGAGACGAAAACATGGTAGTGCGGTGCTGGTACTCCCGCGCCCACTGCTCGACCAGGGTCGCAACGAGCGCGCACGACAAACTCAGCGCAAGGCTGGTGAACCACAGTGCGTTGCATATGAGGGATGAGAGCGGGGGTGAGAACGCAGTGGGGGAAGGGAGTGGGTCTGTCACCGCCGTGCCGTTATTCAGGCTCGCGAGCTGGTGTGAGATCTGGGTGAGCATTGCGAGAGTCTGGTTGCCCAAGTCCGGGTTAAGGGTCTTGTAGCTGTCGATGATGAATGTGGTGACGACGCCCGAGAAGAGACCGGCCTGATGGTCAAGATTCAGAGAGAAAATGGAATGATTGAGAGATATCGGAGACGCACAAAAATCAGCAGTCCATCCATCTCACTGCGCCAGCCATCGATGAGACCTTGATCGTACTTCTGTGCCTCGGAGATGTAGACGCCCCAGAGCTTGTTACCGATGGATTTCTCGCGTTCGGAGAAAGTTTCATCAGTCTCTTGTTTGTCGGTCCATTGTTCTTCAGCTTGTGACATGGTCAAAGGCAGGAGGGAAACAGCTGTGCTTCTCTGTACATGCTGCCTCACTGGAACAATCCTGTGAAAGCCAGACGCCAAGCGCACCACGCCTGAGTGGCGGATCTAGACACCGGCACGCAGGGAAGCTAACACAAGCTCGGACGGCGGCGCGTACCAGGGGCATGCCAGGCAGCACTTCCAGAAGATGGATAGATGGCATCAAGCACTAGTGCGACGGTATCGGTCCCAGGAGGCACATATAGGCCCACGGGGCCCGGGATTGACGTGGAATCTCGGTGAGTAGATGGGAGGTCGCAAAAAGGCAACCAGACGCATATTCTCGCAAAGGACAGAGTAAAACCGGATATGTCCATGGTACTTGGTCACATGTGCTTGTGATCTCTCCCTCTTACCGCAATGCCTAACCCTGCAGTACATAGTTCTGCACATTGTGTTGGAGTGAGAGAGAGCGATCGGGGGGTTGTGCCATGGGATCACTAGACAGTGTTCCGGGCTGTCGTAGCACGTGCTTTATCAAGGCTAGTCTAGGCTAGTCTCCGCTGGTTTCCGCCACCGTCTCAAGCGGAAGTCACATCCGGTTTGCAAGTGGATTCCTCTGCCTGCAATCATCTCAACGTTCCGAACCCGGCTGAGATGACTCTCCCTGTGATGCACGGTGCTTGCATACTCTGCAACGACAACATGTGCACGGGGGTTCTTCGCTGTCAATGTTTTGGCCGGCAAGCCAGGCGACTCAATTTACTACGAGCAACCAGCAGCAACAGCAGCGGCCCGCCACATTCCTCTCCTCCCCGTCGCACTCGTATCACACAGTGAACTGGCCGTCCCGTCACCGGCATTCACACTCTCACCCTTCCGATGGGTCGACTCATCGTCTTTGGCAATACACCACAAGCAGCAGTCGCAGCAGTCGCAGCAATACCCGGCACACCGCCTCGTGGCGGATCATTCCAACTCGTATTGTCGATTTTCAGTGGGAACACGCATGCACTGACAACGAAAGTCAAGCCGACCAAAACACTGCCTTTCTGGCGTGAGTGCTCAAACTCACTGTACACGGATGACGTGCTCGATTCTCTATCTGAGTTCCCGAACTCAGAAAGCGCCATGCAAATGCTCTCGCTGAATCTCGAGACACTGTCCTTGAGCACACTGTTCTCCCGTTTCGCAAGCCCGAGCATCTGTCTGCGGGTGCGCACGCTGCGCTGACCATACTGCTGTATGTGACGTTGGCCGACTGAACGCCATTCCTGATCAGCTTCTAGACGCCAATTCTCTCGCTTTGCATCGCTCCGTTCCTGTTCTCGGAGTTGGCTGTCGACTACCGCGAGTTCCTGCGCTGGATGATGCGCGGTAACTCGCGTGCCCTCAGCAACTCACGGATCGGATACTGTCTGAGCCGGACGATGATCACAGGGTACAAGAAAAAGCTAGGTCATCCATCGGAGAAGCTGTTTGGGGATGTTGCTCGTACTGGATGGTGGTCTGTGCTGTGGACAGAGGTTATCTTCCCCGTCGCGATGGCGATCCCGTTTGTGATTGCGTTTATGTTCGTCAAGTCGTTCCCGGACCACAATGGGGCGATCCCCGCGATCCCCCTCGTGCCCATGCTGGTGATCTCCCGCCATACGAAGCAACAACGCGTCAGAATGAGCTCTACTTGTCGCAAGCCCCGCGGGTCTTCAGCGATGTCACGTGGATCCGACTTGAAGACGAGGTACTGCCGTTGGGGGCTGTGGTTTCATGAGGCTTCAAGGCAATCGACACGACGAGACTCAACAACGCCCATCAATACCGCCCAACACCTCACGTTGATCGACCACATCCCGTCCTGTCGTACGCTTTGTGACGTGCAACCCGCCATTCACTGCAGCCCACGATTCGCCAGCGGCTTCTCTTTAGGCTGTCTATGCGACTGACGCAAAGCGCAAGTCGATTCCTCGCGCTTTGGTTCCATTATTTGATTCTGCGGCATCACATTGGTCTGCATCAGTGGATTGCATCTTTCCGGGCCCTCGCTTAATCTGATCTCCTCTTCACAGACCGTGACTATGCTGAATCGGGCTTGAACGCATCCTAGATCCAGAAACGGCGCGCTATCTCCCGCGCGTTCTTCTCACCGATTGCTGATTGCTGCCCGGTGGACAGGCTTACTTCTGTCGGCGGTGTTTTGGTGCTCATTCCGGTGCTCAAACCCGGGCGATGGGTCAGCCGCCGACATTCTCCCTACCTTTTGCTGACTACAAGCTACCACTGGACGTCGAGCCATCCATGGCCGGGGTCAGCACCCTAACAATTATCATGCGCGACATGCCGGGTATGACCCCGCTTTCGGCATCCGTGAGTCACTGGATGCCGACACTGTATCGACATTTTGGTGCGTTCCTTGAAGTAACACGCGTGTCCATCCGATGAACAAATCCAGCGCCCCTGTACATTCACCGATGCTTCGCACATGCCATCTTCAACCACCCGAATGATCCTATCGAGAGCCCTTCTGCGCCCTGTTTCCTGGCTGACTACCAGAATGCATGTGAGCTGCTTTCTGCCCTGAGGAACCAGTACAAAGTGTTTCAGTCTGAGATTGCTCGCTTCTAGGTGTTATAGATGCATGCCCCATCCGGGTTGGTGGGTTGTCTTCCGTGTCTGTCTCTCCGTCTCTTAAGCTCAACCGCCCACAGATCATACTATCTCCCGTTGTCACTCATGCGACGCGATCCAGAGGAGCTGCAGATCGCATGCGAGCATGCAAGCTGTTCGAGGCCGGTGCCCAAATTGCCTTGGATCCAGAGCAGGCAAGTGCGCGAGTGGTGGGGGTCATTAGGGCTTTCTCTCCGATCTGCGTGACCGTGGCAAAGGTGTATAGACGCGCGAAGACTAAATTGACGGAGGGTCTCACGCGCAGGGGAAAGGATCTCGTTGAACATACCGAATACATGGATTGTAGGCTAAATCAATGGAAAATGACACCCTCTGTCGTGTTCCTCCCACACCCAGTCATTCACGAGCAGGACAGACTCGGCAGGAATGTTCTCGGGACGGAGCCCGTTCTGTATACATCCCCGGAGCGCTTGAGCACGGTCCCGGTGTGATCTCTGCTGATTGTCCGTCTGCACCTTCGACACAGCTGTGTCCACGACGCGTAGTGCATCCGCATCGTGCATCCACCCCTTGACGACGGCCCAAAAAAGCACCGAGCTGAGTTGACTCCCATCTGCAAAACAATTCTCTGGATATTTGCGGATGAATGCAGAGACGGCGTTGGCGAATCGCCGTTGCAATTCGGGCGGAATCACCCCGGTGAATGCGTATACCTTGTTAAGCGTGTCGAAGTCCAGCTCTCGCTCCGTTTGATTTGGACTCCGGGCGGTGCACTGCTCGAGGAAAGTGGTCACAACACCCACACATGCACACTCGTAAACTTGTTGTGCCGATGGCCGCCGCGTCCGATCATTGTTGTCAATGCCGAGCACGGAGCGGAACCAGTCCTCGTCGTCGAATATACCCAGCAATTTCTCCCATTCTGACAAATCCCTCTTGAAACTATTCAGCACGACGGACTGGACGATGGCAGCCAAGCGGTGCGTGCGAATGTCGGCTGCTTTTTCCCGCAGAATACGGAGGACCAAGAGATGGCTTTCGAGGTCCTTCGGACGCGCATTAGACTCGCGCAAATTCCGATAAATCAGTTGGAGGGCATCGACGGATTCCTGTTTTTGGGGATCGTATTGGCGCTTCAAGTTCCCGCATAGAGCGTGGCACAGGAATCGGGTGTAATGATGCTTTGAGTCGAATTTTGGGTCAGAGGCGGCGAGGGACGGATGTCGGATAAGGAACGGCCCAAGGCCATGCAGCCACATGTATGGATATTGTGATGTCTGGGCAAACTGGCTGATCATCTGGCGGACAGCAAAGACAATGTTGTCCGCGGGCTCGTCCGATGTCATTTTCAACGCTGAATCGATCAGCTCATCGAGAGCGAAATACAGAGTTCTGAAGCCGTCCCCTTCCGCAAACCGTATTTGTGACTGATCAAAAAGTGAAATGGTCACATCCCGTTGGAAGCTGGCAGCGCTGTGGGAAAGTGATCGCAGATAATCCACATACGTCCGATGCATGTCCGCTTGCCGTCGTTTCTCCGGCTCGGCGTTGGAGCTGCTCGGCTGTGTGTGCGCCCGTTCCCGGCTTTGGACGGATGGATTAACCGCATAGGTCCCTGTGCGGAACTGAGACTCGATCGTGTTCAAACGGATCAAAGTGGCCATGCCAAGGACCATGCTCTGTACGTCAGGGGAATCGATGAATTTTGAGCCTAGCAGCGCGTTGTCGATGTCAGTTTCTCCAATTGGGCTCTGCACTCTGCAGAGGCGACCCTGTGCGAAGAGAGAATGCGTAGATGGCCCAGATGGTCCGAAGCACAGACAGCTGGTGGCGGAGGCGGACTTTGTCCTCGAGAAGATTGCTGTTGGAGCCGGCCATGAAATCGACAAGTCGCTGGCAGAGATGGACTTCTGGATCCCACAACAATGTCTTGAATAGTGCCTGATACATGCCACGAGGCTTGTTCTTATCGAAATCCCATAGCGTCTGGGGGAGCCCCTCGACAAATTTCTCAAGTTCCTCGTCGTCGGAGAGAGAGCGGAAGGTCCACGCAAGTGCCCTCGTCTCTGTCTCAGAGGTGGGATGCAGTGCCGCTGATTTGAGGGCGTGCACCATGCTCTGCGACTCCGGACGGGTGTCGGCGGAGGCCTCAGGATTTGTCACAGCAGAGTTGGCGGCTTTCTCGGAGTCTGTCCCAGCGCTTCTTCTATGAACATGGGCCTTGCAAACAGCCACGGCCCTCCCAATGTAAGCCCTCAGCACGCTTCCCAAGCTCTGATTCAGCGACCACAAGATCCGTGTGAGTGGCGTCTGGTACGGACAGTCAAGGAAAAACAGCGGGAGTGCGGTGAACGTTCCATAGACGGAGACGAACAGGAGCAAAAGAGCAGAGGAGATGCCCATGATGATGTTGTTGACGGGCACCAGAAAGGCAACTAGACCCGCAAAGAACAGGACCAGTGCCCCATGCAAGAGAACCGGGGGAATGCCGACGACGGCATGCATATTGAAGCGGCGTAAGCCGTAGTAGAGATACATGTACACACGCGCGCGGACAGAGGGAGACGAAAACATGGTAGTGCGGTGCTGGTACTCCCGCGCCCACTGCTCGACCAGGGTCGCAACGAGCGCGCACGACAAACTCAGCGCAAGGCTGGTGAACCACAGTGCGTTGCATATGAGGGATGAGAGCGGGGGTGAGAACGCAGTGGGGGAAGGGAGTGGGTCTGTCACCGCCGTGCCGTTATTCAGGCTCGCGAGCTGGTGTGAGATCTGGGTGAGCATTGCGAGAGTCTGGTTGCCCAAGTCCGGGTTAAGGGTCTTGTAGCTGTCGATGATGAATGTGGTGACGACGCCCGAGAAGAGACCGGCCTGATGGTCAAGATTCAGAGAGAAAATGGAATGATTGAGAGATATCGGAGACGCACAAAAATCAGCAGTCCATCCATCTCACTGCGCCAGCCATCGATGAGACCTTGATCGTACTTCTGTGCCTCGGAGATGTAGACGCCCCAGAGCTTGTTCCCGCTGGCCCGCTCGCGCTCGATACGCTCTTCTTCTTCTGCCTTTCGTTTGTCGGCCTGTTCTTTCTCAGCTTGCGGCATGGTCAAAGGCAAGAGGGAAACTGACAGCCACTCAGTGCCCAACGCCTGAGTGGCGGATCTAGACACCGGTACTAAAGGAAGCTCACACCGGCTCAGACGGCGGCGTATACCAGGGGCATGCCAGTCAGCACTTCCAGAGAATGGATAGATGGCATCAAGCACTAGTGCGACGGTATCGGTCCCAGGAGGCGCATATTGGTCCCCGGGATTGCATAGAATCTCAGTGAGCAGATGGGAGGTCGCGAAAAACCTATTGGAATAAGACACTTGGTTACGGAATTGAAGCCAGTACGCAGATGTTGCCTTGCTTGTCAAGGCTTCTCCGGACCCTTAATTACGTATAATCACAAAGATTTGATGAACCTGATCCGGCCTCTGATCCGTTCTGATCAATCTTGCCAACACACATCTGCATGTTAGCTGTGCATGCAAATTCAACGTTTGTGACTGGCTTTGCTCCCACCTTTTTGCGGTATCAAGGCAAATATGTGGTCGATTGTCTTTGTGTGTATGATTATGAGGGCAGAATTATTGCACCGGAGGATTACATGAAAAAGCTCCCCAGTGCTTCTGTTGCGGTCACTTTCACTATGACCCACTACTTGTTCACAAGCCAGAAAGAGGACACGTTTGTTGCAGACATTGTCAAGATATGCGTCATTGAGTCTCAGATTGCACTGCTGCCCAGCCTGAAGAAGTGTTGGCCAGTTGTACCTAATATGGATGATAGCCCAAAGAAGAAAAGGACAAGGGCTGCTGGGGCTTAGTTATGACCAATATCTTTGTTGATATCACTGTGATCCTTGTGTCAAATAATTGTTAGGGTTATCTTTTTCATTGTGCCAAGTAGCAAGGCATTCTGTCAGCAGAGCCGACACTTTCTAGTCCAAAAGGAGATATGTTCCCGTCACTGATCTAATTGATGGTGCTGATCGGTAACCATATTGGGAGATGAAAGCAAATTCATCGTATTGTACATCAGTGTTGTGTCCATTGGTACAACTCCGATGATCTCGTGCTTAGGACCCACGAGCTAAATTTTTGACGTATCTGAGTTTTCTGCTTGACGTTGATTGTTGCCATGCTCTCACTGACAGCGCGTGATTACGGCCGCACTTCTATGGAAACCCGGAGCGGTCTGCTCATGTCAAATGGTTATGCGGCGATGATCTTTGATAAGTGATGTCAAGACCCCGGAACCATTACACTAAGCAACATTACGAGCACACAAAACCGATAGATTCAATGTATTGAGTACTAATACTGAATGCTGAATCAGTGGAAATATCACGGCCCGCAATCATAAATTAAACAGGAACTTGAGCAAGGGGTTTGAGACCTGACACCAAAATAGGACCCTGCCGGAGGCATCCAGTGATGATCAGAATGATCACGTGCAACAACCTTGACAAGCTTGCTGACAAATCCATTGAGATCTTTCAGTGCACGTGATCAATGTATTGAGTACTAATACTGAACGCTGAATTGGTGGAAATATCACGGCCCGCAAACATAAATTAAACAGGGACTTGAGCAAGGGGTTTGAGACCAAAGAACCGGCAATAATCGGAGCACACATGTTGGTTACAAAACAACTTGAAGAGCTCACTGACGTTGCCACCGCCAAACATTGGAGTTCCACGCTGTTTGGCAATCTTGCTGTAAGTGATGAGTGAAAGTGTGATGTGGTACAAAATGAATGCCGCACGGGGTGGTCATGATCTGAGGGTCCGTGAGAAGGGATTCAGAGCCTGGTTGATCAAATTAATCAGTGGGAGTCGCACAACGAGTGAATGCTCACCTTGATAGTCCAACAAGAACATGCTCCGTCCAGTGTACACGTACTGAACGTGCTGCGTGAAACAGAGATAGAGCGCGATGTGATATGATGGGTGATCAGGATCTAAATGAGGAACAGCAGCGCGATTATGGACAAATTTGGCAAAGCGAGAGGGAATCAGTTCTTCAATGATGAAAGAACGGCACAGGGATGATGCCCAGACAACATTGGTACCAGTGACAGTGTCGTGGACTTGTGCAACACCGCCCTCAACAAATCGAATGTCCGGGATGACAAGATTGGAGGGCGGCTCCCCGAGCTTACTGAGCTGATGACGGACAAAAGTATCTGTGAGGTCGAACAGTGAGGTTGCCCAAAGCAGCAGATTCCCTTCGCAAATGCTCTGCTCAAGTTTGACTGCCAGACTGAACCGTCTGATTCCGACTGTATCACATTGACTGGCCTTTGTATCGATCATCCATTTCGCCGCAACACGTTGATTCACAGTTGATCTGAGCCCAGTGGGAGACGTTGATGATCAAACAAGGGTGAGGAAACCTTTGTATGCATCCTTGAAACTACCAGACCCTAAAGCAGCAGACAGGACAACACTGAGTGTCGCTGGCTCAGCCACAGCTGGATCACACACAAACTGCATTGCCGCCTTGTCCTGAGTGAACATATCCTCAGCTCCTGTGTCTTACACTCGCTGAGGTATGCATTCTCCCTTACAATCTAATGACCTTACTTATGACTTGTACCATAGACTCTGTCTTCTAGGTACAGCTAATGATATAGCTCCTGTGTCTCTACACTTGCTGAGACTCTGTCTTCTAGGTGATCACTACTGGTCGTATCTCCACTGCGTGGTATTGTCTGCGACATGGATATTGGCTGTTAGTTGGCAGTGCGTTGACGCGGCATTTTGGTTTACTAGTTGGCAGTGCGTTGACTTAGTACTTTGGTTGTGTCAGTTGGCAGTGCGTCAACTTGGCATTTTGTTCTACTAGTTGGCAGTGTGTCGACTTGATATTTGGGCTTTGCGTCACCATCTGGACGCTGTCACTACAAGGGATCTTAATACTTCGTATTAAGCTCTGACTTGTGATATTGTTGGTTGTGGTTGGATTAGTGTTGGTTTTGTTTGTATAAAAGATATTGGTTGAGACACCACTGTTTGCTATATAAAATCCTTGTCGTCGACTTCGTCTTCCGCGACTATTGGATCTGTGTCTATTGAGAGTTGTGATACTGGTGTTCTGTTCACCCCAAAGCCCTTGCATCTTTCACACACTGAGAAGCTGATTACGAGGAGTGTGAACGTGTTTATATTTGGGTTTACTTTCATAGTAGATTCACCTGTGAGCGCGCCCTCAGCATTTCACTGCCCGCTACCACTCAGGTAGGTTTTGGGCACCGGAAAAACCTACCCAACTGGTAGGATTTGGGGGGTGACCAAGGTGAGCCCTTGCATCGTTCACACACTGAGAAGCTGATTACAAGGAGTGTGAATGTGTTTATTCAGCATTTCATCAGATGAGGCGGACTTTGTTCTAGAACTCCTTTGATATAAGAAGTCTGATCAATCCAGATTTTACACGCTTTGCGATCACGAAGTATGTTCAGACCAAGGAAATCCTTTGCAGGACCAAGATCTGTCATTTTGAAGCGGTTCGCGAGCAGTGATTTGATCCGCGCTATCTCCGGCAGATTGTTGCCCATAATGAGCATATTGTCAACATACAGCACCAAGATGATGACCGTATCTCCCATTTGTTGGCGATATGTGTAGACACCGGCGTCGGAGTATGTCCGAGCAAAACCAAGTTTGAGGAGGGCATTGTGGATTTTGATATTCCACTGACGAGACGCCTGTTTCAACCCATAGAGTGATTTATGAAGGCGTGCCACCTTTTCTTTCGGCCATGACGAGAAACCTTTGGGTAATTCCGGAAGTTCCATATAGATTTCTTCCTCCAGATCCCCATTTAGGAATGCCGTTTTGACATCCATGGCATGAATCTCCCAATCTTCGAGAGCAGCCAGGGCCATAAGTATGCGCAAAGATTTGTAGCGCAATACTGGCAAGAAGGTCTCATCATAGTCAAACCCATGAACCTGAGTAAATCCCTTGGCAACAAGTTGTGCTTTGAAACAACCGTCACACTTCCTGCTAAACACCCATCTGCATTTGACAGTCTTTCGACCACGTGGAAGGCTGGTCAAATCCCAAGTACAGTTTTCCTTGAGAGAGTCCAGTTCTTTGCGCATCGCGCGCTCCCACTTCAGTGCATCCGGGCTCTTTGCTACGTCCCGCATGTTCTGAGGCAAGTCATGTTCAGCTTGGGCAGCTGAAAGCATGGACTCAATGCTGTTAGGCCTCTGATACGTAGTTCCATCTGGCAAAATGCAGGGCTTATTTTGACGAGGGCGGCAATGTGCAATCGGGCAATTGTCTATTGGGCCAGGCATTAGGGGTACTTCTCGCAATCCCGTGACAGGACCTTGTTGCGCGAGGGGTGCCGGGGGCAGTGGAAGAGCAGGGGGTGGTACACTTGCATAAGGTGTTGCAGGCGCAGGATTATTGATAAGGTCAGGGAAGGTTTCCTCGAATGGTGTGAACGGCTCCGGTCCAGAGGACACATTGCCGGTGACTAGCTTGGACTTGGCAGGGAATACTTGCTCATCGAACTCAACATTTGAAGAGACTCGTACCTTGTGTTGATTCGGATCCCACACTTTCCAAGCTTTTGTCTCTTGTTCGTATCCAACGAAGATGTGGTTGGGACGTCCATGCTCCAACCCTTTCGGGCGTTTTTCAACATCCACATAGAGAGACACCTTGCATCCAAACAAACAGAAATAAGAGACGTCTGGCTTCTTTCCAAGCCACAGTTCCGCAGGTGTTTGCCATCCCAATCGTGCCATAGGTTGTCTATTATGAACGTGGACAGATGCATCCATAGCACATTGCCAGAAGCCTTTGGATAGGCCGGCATTGAGGCGCATGCATTCCGCTTTCTTGTAGGCTGTGCGATTCCAATTTTCAGACCTCCCATTTTGTTGTGGTTCGCGTGGCGCGGACTTAGGGTGCATAATACCACGTGCATTGAGCCAGGCTGTGAGTTCATTGGACATATATTCGCCTCCACGATCTGACCGGAAGGCCAGTACTTTTGTGCCAAGCTGACGCTCTGTAAGGGCAACAAAGTTTTTAATTGCAGTAGAGGCTTGGTCCTTTGATTTAATGAATACCATCATGCCAAAGCTCGAGAAATCATCGTAGAACGAAATTGTGTAGCATGAACCTTCCAACGACTGAGTAGGCCAGGGGCCCATCAAATCAGTGTGGATAAGCTCGAGAGGTTTGCTAGCACGTTTCTCTGATGCAGGGTACGGATGCTTGTGCTGTTTTCCAAGCATACATCCATTGCACATGCTGCGCTGGTCTTTATTGCGTCGCAAGGGGGAACACCTTCAACTTGTGTCGGCAAGTGAGTAAGGGTCCTCCGAGCCGCATGACCAAAGTGCTTATGCCACAATTCACGATTGGTAGTTTCCAGGGAAGCAAGTGCGGTAGACTCGTGAGATGCAGACACAGACGGTGCCACGAGCTCCTCGGGGTAGTACCAGTAGCAGTGATTGCTTGCTTTAAAGGTCATCAAGACATCCCCATGCGCTTTTCCCTTGTTGAGCCAATCCTTGGTGACTAGGATTGCCTTGTTGTCACCAACCACGGTGTAGTACATCCTTCAAAGTGAAGGTGTAGTCCATGCCACTACTAGTATGACCCCGCAACACAATATCTCCAATGGCTTCATTCTTGAAGTGAGCTCCCGATCCAACGACTCCATAGGTGTCGATAGATCTGATGTTGTGAAGATCGGATCGGGTGTTTGTCATATGATGCGTACAACCCGAATCCCATAGAAAATGAATTTTTGAATCGTCTCCCATTTCTTCAACAAAAATTCCATCATCGATGTGTTTGAGGGAGTCACTCATGAGATAGGACAAAATGTGCATTCCATTGGAGGCAGCTGCAACCGCGGGAGCAGCTACAACTTCTTTTACAGCACTAGTATCACCACTTTTCTTTTCCTTCTTCTTTTTCTTCTTCCCCTCATCCTGCTTCCCCTTGCCTTTGTCAGAAGATTGACCAGTAGGCTTGAGGTTGGGATACTTCTTGTAGCAGGATGCTGCAACATGACCAGACTTGTTACAATGAGTGCAGCGGGTGGCAAGGGACGGAACGGTGGAAATCTTCGAGTTCGATGTCGTGTCGAGGTTCTCGATCTTGATATTCCCAATGACGCTGTTCTTGACATCGACCGGGTTCAAGGAAGCGATAGGACAATTGGCCAGGTAAGAGGTGACGAAACCTCTGCTGGAAGCGGGCAAGGTGGCAAGCATGAGAGTAGCGAAGAGGTAGTCGGGGATCTCGATTCCTCCTTCCAAACACTGACAAAGACGAGTCTCCATTTCCATGATTTGTTTTTCAATGGTGTCACCACCATGGAAGGTGGTGGTGTTCAGGAGGTGGTACTCGACAAAAGCATCAATGGTGTTTGGCTGGCAATAATCCGTCGCCATTTTCGCAAAAACCTCGCGCGCAGTGCGCTCCCGCTGACCGTCCATAAAGATTCCCTTGTGTAGATTCTGGGTGATGTAAACCCGCGCAAGACCCAGTGCCTTTTCATTGGCAACGTCCCATTGATATTGGCTGTCGCCAGCCATTCCAGGACGCTCCATAGAACCAGGGTTCGAGGTAGATGTGCCGTTAACCATAATATGAGTGGGTTTAACCACTCCCCAAGTGCCCTGATGCATGCAGATGCTCATGTAGTTGTCCGACCATGTATTCCAATTGGTGCTGTCGAAGACACTCAGAATGGAGTTGTTGAGTTTCTTGATTCCCGACATGGTGGGGAGATACTTGATGACGTCGGCGGTTTGGTAGTGAAGAGAGGGGAATTTGATATAGGGAGGATCACCGAATAGAGATCAAAGTTCTGGAGTCCAATTCTCTTGGTGATGGAAGAACTCTTCGTTGTCGTGTTCTCCAAGATCGTATAGATCCCTCCAATCAGCGTCTTGAAGAGGAATATAAGAATGTCCCTGGGCCCAGTGGACAACAGGAAATAGGATAAGCCCAACGGGAGGGTCGTTTGTTGATGACAGGGTGATAGAGACTAGAGCGACACAGTCAGCCCTAAGTTCTCTGCAGACCAAGAAACACAATCCTGAGTGCCAAATCTCTGAAACGAGAACGACCAAGCGTCCCCATCCCATCCATGATGCCCATATACGCGCGGGGAATGATAACAAAATAAAGCGGTATAGTAAGTGCCCATATTTGTATCAAAGTAACGTAACTATATACGTCAGCGGCGGCAGGACCCAACGGTGATTACTGCCCTTGCAGTCCGTCACTGGCCAAGGGACACGTGCCCAAGGCCGTCCCAAGCACCGGGTTTGGCCGCCCATCTTCTCCCTTTTAAAGACATGCATACACGCAGAGCGTCATTGCATGAATCCTCGTAGTGTCACCAGCCCGCAGGGTCCCTTGTGAGGAATGCGAGTCAACCCCAAAGGATTGTTTTGCCTGGCGGAGGGATTGACCTCCAGCAGCTGTTGAGAGCTACCACACCACCTAGGCGCTTTGTGCAAGGTTCAGGAGTGGGATTGACCAAAGGACCAGTGCCTGGTGGATAGGTCCGCTGTACAATAAAAAGATGTAATGTAAATGCGCATGAGCAATCATGGATGGAATAGCTAACGGTGCGTCTGTCAACTGAATGACTCCCTGACGCCGCTTGCGTAACCCCTTGAGGGTGAGAGCACAAATGCGAGGACCAACCTCCAGCAAGTGGGACAAGTGCACAAAGACGGCGCTCTAGAAGGGCTGAATGAGTGAAAGATACTTGCCTTAGCAAAGGGAGTAGTTCGATGTTTCTTGATCTGGGCTAGTGGTTCAGGCGGGGCCCATAACCTGTCGCAGACAATACCGCGCAGTGGAGATACGACCGGTAGCAATCACCTATAAGACAGAGTCTCAGCGAGTGTAGAGACACAGGAGCTATATCATTAGCTGTACCTAGAAGACAGAGTCTATGGTACAAGTCATAAGTAAGGGTCATTAGATTGTAAGAGAGAATGCATACCTCAGTGAGTGTAGAGACACAGGAGCTGAGAATGTGGAGTGTATAGTACTAGGTTTATATACCAGTCTGGAGCAGATATCATGATGTCATAGTGGAGTAGTGATATCATAGATGAGTAATGGATGACACAATAATGAGGTCAGGTATGAGGTCATTGTGGAGCAAGCCAAAGTAATCTAAAGATACTACATATGATGTCATGTCTACATACTGTGATAGTCGCTAATACAAACAAGCTTCAACAATCCAATGTCCAAAACCCGAGCACAACTTGTCGACGTACTGCCAAGCGATAAGTGTGGAACCAAAGTTCTCAAGTCGACGCACTGCCAACTGACCAAAACTACCCGAGCACAACTAGTCGACGCACTGCCAAACTAGAGGTGTGGAAACAATCTCAACAAAGCCCAAAGGCGACGACACTAAATGCCCCGACTGAACCAGAAACGGTGAATCCGACTTTCTGATGTCTCAAAACTCAAACTCAAATCACAGTAGCTACAAGTGCTCAGGGAGCAACTTGTCGCGACCGGGCAGGGGTGGCAGAACTTCTTAGGGTGGAATCACGCGGCACGCAAATTGCACAAAACAATCTGATATGAGAATGATTCACAGTCTGGGGGAAAGCTTTTTAATACAAAGAAACAACGTGCTACTTATACTGTCTACGACGATGCTTAGTAAAGTCCTGTACAACTGCATAGTAGCTACGCTATCTAAGATTGGTTGCCTTTTAGGGTAATGAAAAGTTGAACGATCGGACAGGTCCTGAGTGATCAGGACCCCCCATACCCAAACACACTGAAATCGACACGGGCTAGATCCGTGAACCAAACCATGTGAGGAACGACTGGCCTGCCTAGGACCATACGACTTCTTGAGGCACCCACGTTGGACTCACCTGCCATGACATACTAGTTGGCCAATCCAGCACGTCGTATCCCAAAAGTATGACGCGGTGGGTTGACCCACATCAAAAGTACCATATGGAGGACCTGTCCAATCGTTCAACTTTTCATTACCCTAAAAGGCAACCAATCTTAGATAGCGTAGCTACTATGCAGTTGTACAGGACTTTACTAAGCATTGTCGCAGACAGTATAAGTAGCACGTTGTTTCTTTGTATTAAAAAGCTTTCCCCCAGACTGTGAATCATTCTCATATCAGATTGTTTTGTGCAATTTGCGTGCCGCGTGATTCCACCCTAAGAAGTTCTGCCACCCCTGCCCGGTCGCGACAAGTTGCTCCCTGAGCACTTGTAGCTACTGTGATTTGAGTTTGAGTTTTGAGACATCAGAAAGTCGGATTCACCGTTTCTGGTTCAGTCGGGGCATTTAGTGTCGTCGCCTTTGGGCTTTGTTGAGATTGTTTCCACACCTCTAGTTTGGCAGTGCGTCGACTAGTTGTGCTCGGGTAGTTTTGGTCAGTTGGCAGTGCGTCGACTTGAGAACTTTGGTTCCACACTTATCGCTTGGCAGTACGTCGACAAGTTGTGCTCGGGTTTTGGACATTGGATTGTTGAAGCTTGTTTGTATTAGCGACTATCACAGTATGTAGACATGACATCATATGTAGTATCTTTAGATTACTTTGGCTTGCTCCACAATGACCTCATACCTGACCTCATTATTGTGTCATCCATTACTCATCTATGATATCACTACTCCACTATGACATCATGATATCTGCTCCAGACTGATATATAAACCTAGTACCATACGCTCCATATCCTCAGCTCCTGTGTCTCTACACTCGCTGAGGTATGCATTCTCTCTTACAATCTAATGACCTTACTTATGACTTGTACCATAGACTCTGTCTTATAGGTACAGCTAATGATACAGCTCCTGTGTCTCTACACTTGCTGAGACTCTGTCTTATAGGTGATCACTACTGGTTGTATCTCCACTGTGCGGTATTGTCTGCGACACCCTGAGCCTGGTATAGACTCATAAGACCAATTCCACAGTAGTGGTCTGACCACTGGAGTAGTCACTCCTGAGTGCTTGTGCCAAGCGTGAATGTCCGTGACTACTGTGACTCCTTGTGACTACTCTGGCCTGCTCTGATCCGCTGTGGTCACGTGCTCCTACTCCATGTGCCCCCATTTTAAATGGTGTCGCCCTCGTCGCCTGCCGCTTTCCTCAGCTCTTCTTCTGCCTGTCGTATCCTCCACCTTTCCACCTCTGTTGTCTCTGCTGCTCTCATCGCTTCCACCTCTGCCGCTTCGATGGCTCCTTGTTGTTTCTCTTTTTCTCGTTCTGTTTTCGAGAACTCCGTTTGTGCTATTGCTAGCTTGGTCCCCTCTCTCGGAATGTATCTTCGTAGTCGTCTTGCGTTGAATACACCGTCTATGCGCAAGCCGTTGATTGTCTCCAGGGTGTATGAATTCAGCATGCGGCTGCTGATCCTATGCGGTTCCGACCATCTACACGTGAGCTTGCGCTCATTGCTGACCGTGTCGGCCAGGTCGCTGCGGTATACCTGTACTAGGTCCCCTTTCCTGAATATGATGTTCCCCGCCCGGGATGTGAGCACTTTGCGATCGAATGCTGCCTTCCGGCTTAGCGCATATTTTACGCGTTCTGCGTATCCATCTAGCCTCGCTTGTTCGATGTATGCCATGTGCTGATGTATCGCTTCCTCCGTTGCTTTGTCCGTTATTGGTCTCTCGCTCCCGGCGTTTCCTGTGTTTCTTGTTATCAATCCGAACAGCAATTCTCTCGGTGAAAACTTGACCGCTGGTAGTATTCGGTCGTTCAAGGTTTCGATGGCTTTGTCGAATACGTCCGGCCATTTCCTTGGTAGTGCATCTTTCTTTGTTGCCTTCCAGTCGTCTTCCCCTACCTCCGGTGCGCACATTCTGGCCAGTACGTGTAAGAGCAATTTGTTGGCCCCTTCCACCAAGCCGTTTATCCACGGCGAGTATGCCGCTACCCTGTGGAATCTCACATTTCTTTGTGTGCAAAGCTGTTCGACTTCTTTGTTGTCGAAGTGCTTCCCGTTGTCTGACATGAATACGTCTGCCCCGTGGAACTTGCCAAATATGTGATCGAGTGCACCTGTGGTGGTTTTAGCCGATCCTGATTCTTTGTATTTGAATCCCCAAATGAATTGCAAGAAGGTGTCTAGAAACAACCCAATCGTTTTGAAGCCCCCTTTCCCGTCTGGCATGGAGAGGTAGTCTCCCACTATCAGTTCGAACGGTTGTCGCCTTGTGATTGGGTCCATGAGGGCATGCAAGTTTGCCGGTCCAAATCCTTTGCACCTCGCGCAGTCTCTGATCGCTTCCATGATGCAGTCGTCTAGTCCTGGCGTGTGGTATCGATCCATCATTGCGATCTTTACCGAGTCTCGGTGAAAGTGTCCGCCATCGGCGTGTATCTTGGCTGCCACTCCCTTTGCTTCTTCCCTCCTCAAGCATTCCCTTCTCGGTCTTCCTCGCAACGGCGGTCCTCCTCCTAGCCTCCAGAGCTTGCCTTCGTCTATGAAGTACTGGGACGCTCTGTGCTTTGCGCGCTTCCTGTCCGCTATTGTTTCTCCCAGGTCCAGTTCGGTGATTGCCTCGATGACTTGCAAGTATATGGGCTCGTTTCTGAATCGTCTTCGTAGGGCTGTTGTCCCTGTTGGAATGGGCACCACCATGCATACCAGCTCCTCTCCATCGTTTTCGATCGCGAATAGGTCGTTCACTAGCCCCGTTCTCGCTTCCCAGTCCGGTGATACCGTGTACTCGCTCCCATCTCCGCTGGTCTTAGGGGTACCCTCTGCTGCCCTGCTTAGTGCGTCTGCAACTGTGTTGGTGGATCCCTTGATGTGCTCTGCCCCCACTATGTTGTATCCCAGTAAGCCATTCAGCCATCTTGTGTGCGTTGCATTTAGTTTCTCGTTGTTGATTATGTCTCGTAGTGCTTGACAGTCCGTTTCGAGCCATATTGGTTGTCCCCAGACTATGTTCGAAAATTTATCTAGTGCAAATTTCAGCGCGGCAAATTCCAGTAGATGTGGTTGATACCGTTCTTCTGCTGCTGACGTCCTCTTTGAGGCAAATGCAATCGGGTGTCTCCGTATCACTACCTTCCCTTCGCTTGTCATGGTAGTCATTTCCTGTGATAATACCCCCGCGAATGCGTCCTTGCTTCCATCCGTTGTTACGATGAATGGATGTTCCTGTACTATGTCGTATAATGGGGCTCGTAGTACTGGCGCCGATATGAGTATCTGCTTCAGTCGTAGGAAGCACCTCGTGTGTTCCTTCGTCCAGCTTGGTCGTATATCAAAGTTCTTCATCACCGTTCTGTATACCTGTCTGCTTGGGCTTTGTGGCATGGGTACCATCTTCAGCAGGTTTCTAAGCGGTGCTTCTTCCTTGGCGTAGTTCTTGATTATGTCCCGAAAGTACCCCGTGAGCCCGAGGAACGCCGCCAAGTTCGTTGCGTTCTTGGGCGTTTTCCATCCCACTACTGCCGTGAGCTTGGCTGGATCCGGTGTGACACCTTCTGGTCCGACTAGCGCTCCCGCAAATACCACCTTTGTCATGAAGAGCTTCGTTTTTGCTGCTGACAGCGACAGTCCTTCTTTCCGTATTCTGTCAAACACGCACCGTAGTTTGTCCATCATGTCCTTGAAACTGTCCGCGGCTGTTCCTCCATCATCCACGAAGAGTTCCATCACTCGTATCAGTAGGTCGCTGAGTCTGTCTGCGCACATCGCTCCAAATTTGGTTGGTGCGTCTGTCAGCCCGAACGGCATTCGCGTGTACGCGAAGTACCCCATTCCTGGTACGAACATCACCAAGTATGGTTGCGCTGCCTCATCCACCCGTAGCGCAAAGAACCCCGATGCAAAGTCGAATATTGATACGTATCTGTGGCCGGCTAGGCGCCTTTGCTTGTCTCGTATGTTGCCTTGCGGTACTGGTCCTACTTTGAGTAGTTTCTTTAACTCGTGGAAGTTCTGGCAGATGCGCCATTTCTGTTCCTGCCAACTGCTTCCCCCTTTAGCGCCTTTCGTTCTTACCTTGTGCTCCATCTCGTATGGCCTTGGCATTCCTGCTCGTTTGCATGCCTCGTTAAGCTCTTGTTTTAGCTCCTCGTGTGATAGACCTTCGTTTTCGTGCTCTTTCTGGGCTAACTTGATTGGCGATACGCACTTGACGTCCCTTGGGTGAATCGGTCGTAGCACTCCTGCGTCTACTAGCATGCGTGTTTGCTTTTGTAGGTACGCCTCCTGCGGTGGTGTCATCGGTTTCTGGTGTACCTTTGTGCTGAATTTGTGGTCTGGCGGTATTTTCGGCACATATGTTGCGTTTTCGACTGGTGTCACTTCTGATACTGACAGCGCAAAGATGTCAGCGTAGCTCGCTATGAATTCACGCACTGCCGCGGTCTCCTCAGTTGTTATGTCTGTCCCGACTTCTACCAGCTTTAAAATTGCTGCGACTCTCTCCGGTTTGAATGGGTCCTGCGTTCTTGTTAATATTGCCTCAGTTCCTGTGTCTTGCATTGCGTCTGCGCTTGCTATGTCTTTGAACGATCCTGTTCCGTTGTCAGTTGTGGTCGCTACCAGCTCCGGATCCTGATTTGGTACGTCCCTTGTGGGGGGTGTATTCCACCCCCCTGTTTTGACCGTTCTCTCCCTCATCTTCTGTATTGCTCTGCTGATCTCCTCCTCCACTAGCTCGTCCAGCCACGTCCTCGTTGTTCCATTATTGGGGCTCGTTTCCTTCTCGAGGTGTTCTTCAAACGATAGCGCCCCGGTGAACTCTGTCCTCCTTCTTCGTGTCGCCCCCGTTTTTTGGTGTTCGTTGTGCAGTGTTATTGTCTTGTTGTCTTCCTTCCCTTGTACCGTCACTATGTCTTTTGCGAAGTCGTGTACCGCCTGCGCCGCTTTCAGTGATGGTTTCCTGAACAGGAACGACCAGTTCCCCCCGCTGTCGAATACTTCCAGCTCCACCTCGACTGTGATCCCACCTATTTTGACTTTGCCTTCCCAGTGTGCCGTTGGTGTTACCAGCGATCTGTCGGCCATCCTCAATACTCGTCTTGATTTTGTCACTGGTCCTAGTCTCTTCCGGTGCTTCCTCCATACCGAGACATCCATTGCGCTCACGGACGCTCCCCCATCGAATAGTGCGTCCATCTTCACTTCGTTACCCTCTTCGTCTAACACCCCGATTGGGTGGATGAATGAGTATGACTTCCCGGTGCCCACCGCGTACAGGTCAACCACTGTGTATTCTTGCGTCGTGTTGAAAACATTCGGTTCGTGTACGTTACGAGCGCCGAGGCCGTGCAGTCGCCCCATGCGCTGGGTCGTTGTTTGGGCATTTACAACGACCCGTTCGGAAAATCCTCCTCGTCTCCGTTGTTGTCGTCCATCCAGCTACCTAGCACCGCGTTGATTGGGGTTGGTCGCGGTAAGTTCTTCGCGCATATGCGTCTGAATCTGCTCTCCACCGTCGGGATTGCTGTTCCTGTGCATGCCGCTGCGTTGTGCTTTGGGATCGTAAGCTTACCGCACTTGAAGCATTCTCCGCTTCCTGGCCACACCGTCCCCGGTGACAGCGGTACTCCCGTTGTTTCCACCCGCCCCGCCGCTCCTCCTCTGCGTTCCCACCGCGTCATGCGCGCTTTGTACGTTGCCGTGTCCGTTTCCGAGGTCGTCAGGAGTGGCATGGCCGCCTTCATCTTGTCCAAGAGTTCGGCGAGCTTGGCTTTGCCCTCTGCGTTCAATATCTCCGCCGAGTTCTGGAATGCTGGCGCTGGGATTCGTTGGGCATCGGCCAGGGTTGTTCTGTTCATTTGTGTGCGGATCTGTGCCGTGGGTGATTGAGGTACTATCCTCTGTGCGCTTCGTCCTTTGAGGTTTGCGACATCTGTTCGCACCGCTGCATTCTCCCGTTCTTCCGCTGCATCGTCTGCGAGCTTGTCTTTGTCGATCTTCTCGATCTCCTTGGACAGTTCTTCCCAGTCCTTTGGTGCTCTTGGTACTTGCTGTTGTATCGCTTTCGGTAGATGATCTCGAACCGTCCATATGTTGCTGCTCGATTTCTCGACGCCTGCTAGTTTTGCTATTTGCAGCAGTTTTTGTGCGAACGCGACGTGCGCGTGTGTTTCGACGCCGCCCACTGTGATTTGAGTCCCGAGTTCCACCAGCGTGATCCGCATCCCACTGAGCTCCTTCTCGTACTCCTGCTTTGTCTTCTCCGCTGCTTGGGGGGCGTCGAATTCCGTGACAAATCCTGCTCTCGTGTCCTTCCAAGTCGTGAATGCTGTGGTGCTTGCTTGCTTTGCTTTCCACCATTTGTCTGCTGGTTTCCCCGCCAGTAGAGAGTTGCCAAACACCTCCAGTTTATCCGCTTCCGTGCTTAATGCCATGCTCCTCATCTGTTGCGCTACTCGACGCGCAAAGTCTTCCGCCGTGAGTTTATCCTTCCCTGGGTCGCCCGAGTACGCCAGTGTCGTGTCGATGTCCGCTGTCGTCGCCATTTGTTTTGTGTTTGTGGGGAATGGTACGTTGTTCTGCGTCGCTTTTGCCGGTGTTACGGACCGGGTGTTGTTTGCGTGTGCTGCTGGCCGGCTCGGGGTGCTGGCGCTCGTGAAGACAGGTAGTGCGTCTGCGTCTGCCTCCGGTGCTGGCGTTGTTGTTCTCGAGATGAGTTCAAATGGCGTGTTATAGCCGCTACTGCATAGTGTCGTAGGTGTGTTCGGTCGGTCTTGTTCTTCTGTGATCTCCGGTCTTCTTGTGAAGCGTCCTTTTCCGTCTCTCTGCTGCGCTTCTTTGTCCTGCCCGTTCCTTCTTCTGCTGCTGTCTGCCACTTTGCCTTGTTTGCTGCTTGCTGCGTGCGTCGAATCTCGCTCTTGTCACCAGATGGAGTAGTCACTCCTGAGTGCTTGTGCCAAGCGTGAATGTCCGTGACTACTGTGACTCCTTGTGACTACTCTGGCCTGCTCTGATCCGCTGTGGTCACGTGCCCCTACTCCACCGCCTTGCTATCGTTGACACTATCCACAGTTGTCAACTGGGCAGTAGACCCTTAAGCCCTACTGAGCGCAACACTGTCAACCGCGACACAATACACCAAATGGTTCGAGAGTAAACTCTGTAAAAAGCGCAAAAATACGCCCTTACAGAGCTGGTGCAGAGCGCGTCTGGTAGCCAGCCTATCATCTCCCAGGAACACTAATTTTGACCTCCTGGTCAACCCACCACAGTCTCACTGCATCAGGTCTAAGTCCAACACTCAACATTTCATTCATTTATTATTAAAGCCGTGGGGACATAGACTTATGTTCCCACGTCTTATTCATTTGGCTGTTCTGTTCCCTCCATGAGCTGCCGCGATCAAACTTCTTTTGGCATGTTCACCATATAAATTCCCTTAATTTTCAGGCTCGAGAGTCTCCCTAGTACAAGACACTCTTTCCTTTTGACCACCATGTCCGCGCCCAACCAGAGCCCCTGCCCACAAGGCAACAACTGTGAGCGACGCCTGAGACAATTTTCGCAACTTTTCACTCGCACTAACTGTCCATCAGCCGTCCCCGAATCAGCTGTCCCGGGAGCGAACCCGCCTGTCATTGACTGGCGGCAGTTCATGCCGTCAGTCAACTGTTTCTCTCATGGCTTGTTGACCTATCTCACCACCTGCCTAGCCCCGAGGTTTATAACCAGATGCTGCGGCAGATGGCCGTCGACGTCCACCAGATACAACAGGTAAGCTGCGCTCTAAGCCCGCTGGACCGAACAGTCACGGCAATCAATGATTGCCGCGCCTGTTTGCTTTGGCCTATCCTTCTTTTACTAACGTAAGGGCTAGCCGGTGTCTGCACCTTTGGCCACCAACGCTCCAGTCGAGGAGTTGTTGCCGCCCAAGAAGTGCAAACGCGCTGTCGAACCCGTACGTATGCTCTGTTTAGTTCATTTACTTGTGTTCTGATCGACCTCCAGGCGGCTCCAACCGAGCAAGTCGTTGCCCCCTTGTCGTCCCGGCCTGCCAAGCAGAAGGGGAAGGGTGACAGCTCCAAGTCGCAGGCCCCTTCCGCCGTCGCGGGCACCAAGGTTGCTGTCGCCCAGAAGTCAAACAAGAAGTCGCATGAGAAGCGGCCCAAGGTGGCTCCCCACAAGGAGCCCAAGGCGTCGTCTCATGCGCCTACCCGTACGTGGCTTTTCTTTTTGGTTCACCGAGGTCGTGGGTACTGATTTGTCGTAGCCCCTACCTCGGTCCCTGTTTCTCAGGGGTCACCTCCCACACGCCGCCCCAAGAAGGCACACCGCGCAGGTGTGTCCATCTTATGTCTTATTTTGTTGATCGTTAGACTAACCACTTTAACCCTCCCAGCCCGGATCCAGGCGCAATCTCTGCCATCCGAGTCCTCTAGTGAGGAGGAAGCCGCCGCCGTTGCCGGCACCGCAATGGAGGCCGACAACAAGGAGGCCCAGGTGGGAGACGCATCTTCGGCCGATGAGCTGGCCCTTCAGGTAAGTGCACCAGTTCGTTGATCGCGACTCTGTCGTCTCATGGTTGGTTTGCCTTTGACAGGGGTCCAAGTCCAGAGGCAAAACACAATCAATTATGAGTGCGTTTTTCCCCTTTGTCTTTTGTCGTCTACTCACACTTTTTGCAGCCCCATCCGTCATCATCATGGACAACACCTCCGAAAGTGGAGAGGAGAATGGCAACTTTGTCGTGGCCAAGAAGCAGGTCAGCGAGACCCCCGTCAAACCCAAGGTGAGCCGCCTCCTCTTTTCCAAGACCATGCCCCTTTACTTAATCCGCCTTTTTAGCCAATCAAGAAGGTCGCGGATGGATCGTCCAAGTTGGCCAAGCCTGCGTCTCGCCAACCGGTGCCAAAGGTGGAAGCCAGTTGCAAGGCCAGTGGCCCGCGACCAACAACCACCCCAACGCCAGCGCCTAAGGTGAGACATAAGTCTTGTGTTCCGGGCGTCAACTAATGGTTTTTCTTTCTTTTCCTAGGTTGCCCCGGCGGCCCCTACCACTACCAAAACTCCTTGTAGTGAGTTGGGCAGGGTGGCTGCAACCCTCGGTTGAGAGCGGAACGTTGCAGCAGCCAAGGCCGAGCTCAAGGCCCAGAAAGCTGACAAGTCCACTGCGGCGTCCAAGAAGAAGTCTGACTCGGTGAGTCACGACTTTTTCTTTGTCGTCGACCTTTATCTGACTTGAATGTTTCTAGACGCCTGTGAAGGCGACGACCACCACGCCCCGGGCTCCCTTCACTCCTACCACCTACGACACCAAGGCCCTCCTTTTGGTGGCACGCCAGAGGTTCGCAGGGAAGTTGGAGAGGGCCGGCATCGAGGTGCCCACCGACTTTGTACGTCTCTTTCTTTTCTTTTTGTGGTGCTTCGACGGCTGACTCTCTTTCATAGGAGGTCGCCCGAGGCCTTGCACAATGTGCATGACGCAGCAACGCGTCTGTTTCAAGAGCGTCAACGGCCGCCACAGCAATCGATGTGCCCCGTGCATGCTGTACAAACAGACCTGCACCAACGGCTACAAGCCCGCTGATAGGCTGGCTACCAGACACGCTCTGCACCAGCTCTGTAAGGGCGTATTTTTGCGCTTTTTACAGAGTTTACTCTCGAACCATTTGGTGTATCGTGTCGCGGTTGACAGTGTTACGTTCAGTAGGGCATAAGGGTCTACTGCCCAGTCGACGACTGAGGATAGTGTCGACGATAGCAAGGCAGTCAGACCACTACTGTGGAATTGGTCTTATGAGTCTATACCAGGCTCAGGGCTATTAGTGACGAACGCTTGGACCGCGACAATTCCCCAAAAGGGATCTTTCGTTGCGGCGACTTCTCAAAAGGGTCATTCTCTGCAGATGGGAGCTTGGGCTGAAGGGCTGAGCAATGTGCAATGTTCTCAATAATGCAACTACTACTGGACAGGACTTGGCGTTACGAGATTGAACCAATCTTGTCGCGGCAACTCCCGGTCTGTAGTTGGACGCTTCCTCAGATCGTGCTACGGCAACGACTTGTCACATGTCAGGATCCATTCGATCACGGGACATTGTGGACGCGTCACGGTGACACTTCCAAGTGTCACGGCGAGTCGCGTCCATACCCGAACACACTAGAAATCGACACGGCTAGATCCGTGAACCGAGCCAAGTGGGGAACAACTGGCGTGCCTAGGGCCATACGGCTTCTTGGGGCGCCCACGTTGGTCTCACTTGCCAAGACATACCCGTTGGCCAATCCAGCACGTCGTATTCCAAAAGTATGACGCGGTGGGTTGACCCACATCAAAAGTATCATATGGACAATGGGGCGGGGTCCTGATCACTCAGGACCTGTCCGATCGTCCAACTTTTCAATTACTCTAAAAGGAAACTGATCTTAGATAGCGTAGCTACTATGCAGTTGTACAGGACTTTACTAAGCATCGTCGTAGACAGTATAAGTAGCACGTCGTTTCTTTGTATTGGGGAGCTTTTTCCCCGGACTGTGAATCACTCTCATTTCAGATTGTTTTGTACAATTCGCATGTCGCGTGATTCCACCCTAAGAAGTTCTGCTACCCCTGCCCGGTCGCGACGAGTTGCTCCCTGAGCACTTGTAGCTACTGTGATTTGAGTTTGAGTTGAGATATCAGAAAGTCGGATTCGCCGCATCTGGTATTGTCGCGGCATTTAGTGTCGTTGCCTTTGGGCTTTGTTGAGATTGTTCCACACCTCTAGCTTGGCAGTGCGTCGACTAGTTGTGCTCGGGTTGTTTTGGTCAGTTGGCAGTGCATCGACTTGAGAACTTTGGTTCCACACCTCTTGCTTGGCAGTGCGTCGACAAGTTGTGCTCGGGTTTTGGACATTGGATATTGGCTGTTAGTTGGCAGTGCGTCAACGCGGCATTTTGGTTTACTAGTTGGCAGTGCGTCGACTCAGTACTTTTGGTTGTGTCAGTTGGCAGTGCGTCGACTTGATATTTGGGCTTTGCGTCACCATCTAGACGCTGTCGCTACAAGGGATCTTAATACTCCGTATTAAGTTCTGACTTGTCATATTGTTGGTTGTGGTTGGATTAGTGTTGGTTTTGTTCATATAGAAGATATTGGTTGAGACACCACTGTTTGGTATATATAAATCCTTGTCGTCGACTTTGTCTTCCGCGACTATTGGATCTGCGTCTATTGAGAGTTGTGATACTGGTGCTCTGTCCACCCCGAAGCCCTCGCATCTTTCACACACTGAGAAGCTGATTATGAGGAGTGTGAACGTGTTTATATTTGGGTTTACTTTCATAGTAGATTCACCTGTGAGCGCGCCCTCAGCATTTCACCGCGGAGCAGCTCTACATGGGACAGCACTTTGGGTACATCGCGCAAATGAGCGCGGATGGTACAAATCCCTTAATCTCTTTCATTTTTGTCTATGAGCATTTCTGATGACTTTTTCAGAGCTCAACAAGTCCGCCAATTGTCTCGCCGACACCTTGGACGCGTACAGCAGTCTTCTTCGCTTGG